CCACTTCGGCGGAGACTGCCCGAGATTGCCCGAGATCGCCCGAGATTGCCCGTGGCCCTGCTCTACCCCACCACCACCCGCACCCCTCGCGCATGCCCGGCGCAGCAGCGGAGGGGCTCGTCCATGACTCGGAAGTCACTCCTCGCGATAGGCTCCTCGGAGTGCCCGGCGCAGCAGACCATCATCTCGCTCACCCTGATTGCGTGCGTGGTCCGCCATCTCGCCACCATGCATCCGCATCCACACCAGGCGCTGGCGACGGACGCGAATGAATATTAGGTCCTCTCCGTCCTCTCATGCTCCAAGATTGCGCCTCACGGCACCCTGCTCACCTCCGCGGCGGTCACCGCCTACGCCACCTTCCTCTGCTACTCAGCCCTCGCGTCACACCCGGACGACGGCTGCAACCCCTTCTCGCACCGCCGCCACTCTGCGCTCGACATCGTTGTCGGGCTGCTCGTCGCGTCCATCTCGCGCGCGGGCCTAGAAGGGGAACGCGGAGTCTTGTACCCCAACTAGCGCTCGAGAGGACACGCACTCCGCCGTATTCGAACGTATTCCGCTATGTTCGCTGTATTCGCAGCCTGATGTTGGCGTGTTCAGCACGCAGGCTCGCGGGCACGGCGCTCCATATCTCCCCACATCTCCCCACATCTCCCCATCTCTCCCACGTAGGCTCGCGGGCACGGCGTGGAACGCGACGAGCACCAAGAATCAGGTCCGTCGTGTACGAGACATGGGGAGATACGGGGAGATACGGGGAGATACGGGGAGAGATGACACACACACACACACACACACACACACACACACACACACACACACACACACACACACACACACACACACACACACACACACACACACACAAACGCGCGCACGCACACCGCTCACCCACGCGCACTGGGCCTTGCACGTTGAATGCCGTGCGGCTCCTGTCGTCTAGACGTGGAGTCGCGAGGGACTAGCCTGGCTCCTGCCCCACCAGCTCGTGTGTGTGTGGAAGTGTACCTGACTTGACCTGACCTGATCTGTCCGTTAAGGTCATCGGCTCCGACTCCGCTTCGCCAAACGAGCAGCCGCTCGACCCGAACGCGGAGAAGGAGGCGCCGGCGTACGACGAGATGGAGGAGGAGTCGTGGTGGTATTACCACCTGATGATGGCGACGTGCGCGCTCTACCTCTCCATGCTCCTCACTGGCTGGTCGACCGAGCCCGCGTACATCGACGGCGTGCCGACGGCCGTCGGTGAGGGGCACTTCCGAGACACTTCCGAGACACTCCCGAGGCGCCTCCGAGATGCCTCCGAGGCGCCTCCGGCCCCTCTCCTCCCGGTTGGGCCGTCGCCTGCAGCCCCGGTGCCCTGCATGTGTAATGAGGCACGATCGACACGTACGACGCGGCGTCCTACTCGGTCGGGCTGCCCTCCTTTTGGGTCAAGGTTGTGGCGCGCCGCGCTCCGGCTGCTCGAGATGTACCCGAGGTGACCGGAGGTTGCGCGCGGTAGGTCGTGTCGCAGTGGATCTGCTTGCTGCTCTACTCGTGGACGCTGCTCGCGCCGTACTTGCTGCGCGACCACCGCGACTTTGGCATCGAGTTCGACTTCTAGCCAGCGGCCGCGAGCGAGCTGCGAGATCGGGCTTCCGTGCGAGGTTGAGGGGTGGCGGTGGGGAGGACGGGCGCGAAGGGGTCCTCTCGGGGCGAGGGTCCTATAGCACGCGTTCGTGCACACGCGACGACGCTTGCGCGCCTGTCTTCGCAAATCTGATATCATGTGTGGGTGTATGAAGTCGTGAGGCTGGAGCGGCTGTTCTCAGTAGAGGATGGGATAGGTTAAGGGAGAAGGGGCAAAACCAAAAGTGAGCAGTCACGCAGGCGCCCAGGCGGAGGCGCGGCTCTCGGACCTGGAGTCTGGACAACTTGACCGACAACCGGAGCGCGGCGAGGACACGCGCGTGCATCGCATCCGCACACAGCAGCACGAGCACCCCCCCTAGGAGGAGCGAAATCGCGAACGGCCCGAGCAGAGAGGGCGACGGCGGAGCACGAGGGGGCAACGGAGACGCTACCGATGACGCGAACCGAGGCACGGGCGACGGCGGGGACGGGGACGGGGAGGGCGACAGCGACGTCGAGGTTGACGCAACGCGCAACGGTATCGAGAGCGCCACCCAAAAGGAAGCGGACAGCCATGGAGGTCACCGAATGGAGGGCGAACGGCACGATACGAAAAGGCAGGGCGAGGCGGATGGAGAAAGAAGTGCCGAGGAGGCCATGGTGGAGGGGAGGGACGGGAGGACAAAAGAAGGGCGAGGAGGACGAGCGGCCCGCACAGGCCGCGAGCAGACAGCGCCTGCTGGCCACTTCGAGACATTCGCCAAGAACGCTAGCTACATGGGAGGGCTTCGTGAAGGATGGATTGAAAAACATTCGAACAAAGAAGAGGCGACGGGAGGAACCGGCAGAGGATGCAGTGACGTGACACACGCACACACACACACACACACACACACACACACACACACACACACACACACACACACACACACACACACACACACACACACACACACACACACACACACACACACACACACACACACACACACACACACACACCGCTCACCCACGCGCACCGGGCCTTGCACTTTGAATGCCGTGGGGCTCCTGTCGTTAGACGTGGAGACGCGAGGGTTGCCCCCCTTGCCCCACCACCTCGTGTGTGTGGAGAAGTTTACCCCTTACCTTACCTTACCTTACACCGCGGGCACGCAGCACACGACAGCCGGGACGCAGTCGTCCCTCCCCGGTGACGACCCCCCACGACCGTCTAGCACCTGAAGCTCTGTCCTCTGAGTGAGTCTGACTGTCCTACTAGAACCTTTCGTGTCCGGCGTGTTGAGCTGGTTGAGGCTTGAGCGTCTCCGACTCGAATATCGACCACCAGATTTCTTCGCAACCTGCAGTAGGAGCCGGCTGGGACTTCGGTGTACCTGTGTTAGTGCCAGTGCGCGCCAGTCCCGTGCCCAGTGTTGTGCGAGGGAGTTTGGTTGTAAAATTCTTTGAATTCTTTCGGCATTGTGCACGGAGCTAAGTGCATTGCCGTTCTTAACGGAGACAGTCGCTTAGGCGGCTCCGGTGGTGTGCCGGTGATAGTACTAGCACGCGCCAGTTCGCACCTGTGTCGAGCCTGTGTGCTGTGAGAGAGCGTTGTTTTGTTTAAATTCTTTCTTTTTCGCTTAACGGACCGGCTCGCGACCATCTCTTTGAGTCGATCTCTTCGATCCACGGCCGCTTCTATGACGCTACTTTCGACGTACGACGAGTGGGGCAGATGGCGGCCCGTGCGCCGTGGAGACGACGGCGAGCCGCCAACCGTTGGAAAAGAAAACAACTGTGCTCTTTGCGCAGGTGCGCGAAGACGTTCTCAAGACCGGGGTGCTGCCTTTTCACGCCTTGCGACATCCTTGGATTGGCTGCTGGCACTCTCGAGGCTATGCCTACACAGCCTCGCGCGCATGGGCAGTCAAGAGGGACCACGCACCTTCTCAGGACAGCGCCGGTGCCTCTCTCTTGGACCGGCAAACTTGGTGGTCTAGAGTGTCACCAATGTGGGACCAGTGCGGCATCGCGCCATCGACAGCTCTGAACTGCGCCTCACCACTGACCGGGAAGGCCGCCAAGTGGGCCAGCACAGGTCGCACATTGTGGCAGCAGTCAGCAGTGCATGTCTGATAGCTAGAGCACCAGCGTCAGGGTCGCAGGGTCGGATCGTGTCAAGCCTCTCGCCCGGCCGGCTGCGTGCAGACGTCGGCCTGTCTGCTGTCTGGAGTGATCTGTCGGCGGTCAGTACGACCGATCAGGTTGGAGGTTTCTGATGGTTGGAGGGTCTATCTGTATGTACTCCTCGAGATCTCTCCAAATCTGCCCTCTGATCAACCTAGCTTAATCGGGAAGTTGGTGCTCTGAGCGACTCTGAGCGCCGGGGCCCCGTTTCCGCACTGCGGCGCGGCGCACGGTGCCTCCGGGGGCCCGCCCCCCCAGAGGTATGCGGTATGTGAAGATGGATAAGGTTTTGCTCGCCTTCCCTGGGACCCCGTGTTGCGTGACTGTCTCTGTGCGATTTCGGGCCCGGGGTTGTGCGAAAAAAGAAAGAAAGAAAACAGACAAACCCAAACGAGGGTTGTGCGATTATGTGAAGATGGAAATCGCTTGTCTTTTTTTTTCGTTGAGCTTAGCCTTCGATGTTATGAAACAAACGCAAGGCGGACATGGCATATCGCTCTCGGGCCCACAGACATCCCGCACACTCGCCTCACACCCGCCGCCCGCGCGCGCGCCCCACCCCGGCCGGGAGAAAGGGGAGTGACAGTTTGGGAAGGACAGCCGAGTATCTTGCACTCCATGTGCAAGAACGCAGAGAGAAATGAAAGCCGTCCGGCTCACAAGTCCGGCTCACGCGCCCCGAGCTTACCATCTACCGCACTGAACACTTCCGCCCCCTTGCTCCCAACCCATCCACCTCGCCTCGGGCCGCGCCGCGCAATCTCGGGCGATCTCGCGCTATCTCGGACGATCTCGGGGCCGCGCCGCGCTATCTCGGGCGATCTCGGAGCGTTGCTCGCGCGGCGGCACACCTGCTCAAAAAAGGAAGGAGGTTGGAGGCAGGAGGTCACGCCCCATCCAGAGCGCCGTCGGTCGTCGCCGGAATTTTGGCCCCCGGGTCGTCGCCCGACGGTTGCTGCGCGGGGCAGCCGGGCATCATGCTGAAATTCTGCAAAAACCTGACCGGCCCCTGCCCTGCCCCTATACCTACCTACCTACCTTACTTATGGGAAACTAAAAAAGAAATGACGGGATCGGTGAAGGTGGGGTACTATACCAACTAAAGTGATGGCTGGTGGTACTATCCTGCAACCACAGTCCTTCCTGTGACAGGGAAGGACTCCAGCTAGAAGAGAGGGGAAAACCGGAAGGGGATGCCAGCTAGAAAAAAATATACACTTGGAAAGGCGGCATCCCTCTCGGGCCCACAGACATCACGCACACCCGCCCCCGCTTGAGTCGCATCATGCGCGTCGGACGCATCCTCGAGGGCACCCTCTCTGCGCTCGCGGCGCCTTGGGCTGTGCCAGCATCCTCCGCCCAGCCTTCTGTCATGCGCGTGATTGACGCGGCCTCGGCGAGAGAGGTGATCCTCGTCGGCACCATGCATTACAATCCGCACTCCATCGCAACGGTGGAGACAGCCATTCGCGACGCCGCCGCGTCGGGCGGCCTGCATGCGGCCGTAATAGAGCTGTGCGACGCGCGCTGGAGCTCAGATGTTGCTCGCAAGTGGAACCGCGAGCGCTCTCTGCGGCGCGTGCTGTCGGAGGACGAGTTCCAAGTAGCGTTCGAGGCGGCGCTCGACTGCGGTCTCGGCGACGTCGTCCTCGCCGACCAGCCCGTGGCAGAGAGCGGCCGTCGGCTCGCGGTGGCGGTCGCGCGCACGGTGGCCGACGCGCTTTCCCCGGCGGGCTGGCGAAGGATCGGCGACGACGGACGACTAGCACTCTCGCAGCTTCCGGCCTTTGGCGCGGCGGCGCTCGACCGGCGCATCCTCGCCGGCACGCCGCTGGCGGTGGCGCGTTACGCCTACTCGTCGCCAGCGGCTCTGCCGCTCGCCGGACTCTCCGCCGCCGCCCTCGCGCTCGCGGCGGCCGTCGACGAGGCGACGGGCGCGGTTGCGGGCGTCTCGGACGGCGCTGTGACGGCGCTCGCGGCGGTGGTGCTCGGGCGGGCGGGCTTCATCGCTCTAATCGACGAGCGCAACCAGGTGCTGGCGGGCAACATACGCGAGGCGTGCTTGCAGCCGCCGCAGCATCTGCGCGGCGGCGGCGAGGCTGAGGACGCCGCGGGTGCTGGCGCCGCGGTCGTGGCGGTGCTGGGCATGGCGCACTTGGAGGGAGTCCGAGCGGCGCTGCTGGTTGAGCAGTAAACAAATGTATGATAACGGTCAAAACTTCTGCGACGACACATTTGTTAAAATCCGCCAGCTCTGCACACAGCACAGTGTGCGGTGTGTATGTATACGCCACAACACCGCAACATAAACCGTATTATCCAACATAACCCCTCTCCGTCTCCCTGAGTGCCCTACCCTTGCGGGCTCAGTTGCCGCATTAGGAGCCTTCGCACCGCGAGTGGGCTCAGGTGGGATCCACACAGAGAGAGGTTCAGTACAGAGCCGCACTCTACTGTCCTCTTATCCCCCTGTACTCGGGCGGCATCGTGGTGAGACCCTGGGCAGTCAGAGAGGCTGGCAGTAAGTGGCGGGCTATGAAGTCGGGCCTCTCCCGACCCGCCATCGCTGCCTAAGGGAGGATCCTATCGGCCACTAGACCATGACAGATCAGAGGCGTACATGCCCTGTCCCAGCTCCCCCACTCCTCACAAACTGGGTTTGCAGTGCGCGACCTCGCCACCTCGCTACCAGGGCAAACCCCCTCTCTCCCCCTAGGTGCTGCACTGGACGTCCATAGAAGGCGCGCGGCAGAGGCGGGAGGGAGGCGGGGAGAATCTAGCTCGCTCTGGCAGGGAGGCAAGGGTGTGATAGAGTGTTTGGGTGAGAACAGGCGGAGCGTGTGTGCCTGCGCTGGGCGCGATTGGGAGGGCACTTGTGACGAGGCAGGTTAGGCGAGTGGCAGTCGCTGGTGCGGACTTGCTGAGTCGTGTGTGCTCCTTTTTGCTTGCTAAGACTGGAACAATTTTTTTTGGTTAAAATCCGCCCGCGGCCGGCTAGGCAGCCTGTACTCCTCAACCTCCTTGGCACTCCCCCGACAAGCGGCGCGCTATGCGGGCCCGCCGCGGGCGACGCGGGCGGCGAGCCGACGTGCGTGCCGCAGTCATAGGCAGCGCTGGCGAAGCGAGGAGGTCGCCGCAGGCCCCCGGATGCGGTCGCAGCGAGAGAAGCGAGACAGCAGATGCTGTCGGAAGGGTGAGGAGCAGCCTGCCGTCGAGCGGCGCGCCGCACAAGCCCGCCGTCGGCGGCCCGGTTCGAGAGCAGGTAGTCGTGGTAGTATTGAGCGCGCAATCGCGCCCGAGCCGGCCCGCCCTGGCCCTGTAGACCGACCGTCCAGAGATTGCATTGCAGCGAGGTCTCGAAGACACCGGTCGGGGCGGGGCGGAAACGGCGGGCCGTGTGTTATATGCCGCTGACCGTTGCCGAGAAATTCAGGGCCGCGCCGGCCGCCGCCGTCTCCAACCGGAGCGCGTTCGAGCCTCCACTCGAACGCGCGCGCGTTGTGATCGCCGCATGCCACGGCCTCAACCTCGGCGGGCCAAGGCACCGCTGCCTCGAGACTGCGCGCGCCCTCACGGCGCATGATCTGCCGGCGGTGTGCATCCCCAGCTGCTCCGCCGCCACCTTGTCGCGCCTGCGCCAGCCGGGGCAGGAGAGGCTCGACGGAATAATCTTCATCAAGCAAATCCCGTCCAGGTCGTGCACGCACCACGCACACACTCTTAACCATACTGCAATCCTACCTCGCTCCGCCTGCATCCCCTTCCAGCATTCACCTGATCAAGACGGTGCGCTCGCTGACGCGCCGGCTGCTGCTCGATACGATGGACTTAAACCCGCTCTTCCAGGCAAGACTGAGAGTGTTCTAGGTTGACCGAGGTTGACCGAGCTCACAGAATGGCGTTGCACAGGCAGCCTCCTGCAATGGCGAGTCGTTGCTGCGTCACTTTGACGGCGCGATCGCCCTCTCCCGCATCGCGTGGCAACAAATTAGCGCAAGCTGCCCCGTCCTCGCCAACACCACCCGAGAAGTCCACTACATCGAGCACTTTCACTCGGTCACGCGGCGCGTGTCGGACGGCAGCCTCTGGCCCGCCCGCCCGCAAGCGCTGATGGTGATGGAGCACCGCGTCCTCCCGACGGCGAGGTCATTTTGCGTCAACCTCTCCAAGGCGCTGGGCCCGGAGGTCGACTTCAGCTGCAACCCGCTCTGGGGCGGCACGGCCGCGCCGTCCTCGCGGCTCGGCTTTTTGAGCCAGGCGCTCAAGATGAGTGGAGGGGAGGTGCAGGCGCGCATGGCAGCGTTCCTCGGCACCGGCGACCTGTTCACGCGCGTCTTCGCACAGTACGACCTGCTGATTCAGTGGTTCCACTCCAACGCCGCGCAGCGCCTGACCAATGCGCTCGCGACGGGCGTGCCTGTGATCGCCCTCTGGACGCCAACCTTTGAGGAGGCGCGACCAGCCTGGACAGGGTTGGCCGAGATCAGCTAGGGTTGGGCCGCCTGAGGCGGGACGTCTCGAGTAGGTGGCGGCCGGAGATCCGCACATCCTCCTCGTGCACAACTATAGCGAGCTTACCGCCACCGTCCGCGCCCTCGCCGCGTCGGCCGCCTTTCGCCGCCGCGTCTCCGACGCGGGCGTGGCAGTCGCGGACCGCTTCTCCGTCGGGCAGATTGCCCTCCAGTACAAGGAGGCGCTTGGCTTGTGCGCGAGGCACGATGAGAACCGCTCCGCCGAGCGCGGAGGGCCCAAGGCTTCAAACAACACGCCCCTCCCCCCTCCCCGGCCATGGCGGTCGCACCGGCTGCTTGCCAAGCATGGTGTCCTTGATGCGCGCGGCAACCGAAAGCGCCGCGAAGAGCGGCGGGGCTTTTGTGAATGGAACGGCACAGCTAGAACTACGTGGATGACTAGGGGCACCGGCAGGGGGGTCTCTCTAACTCCACACACTCATGTTCGGCGCGGTGAGACTGAGACGTGAGAGTGACGCCCTCGTTCCCGCTTCCCCTTGCGCCTTGGCCTTGCGGTCGCGAGGCGCAGAGGGAGAGTCGCAGACGGACCAGCGAGTAAAAAATGTTGTCATCAACAGAGACAGTAGACGAAAGACCTGACCTCGGGGCCGACGCTGTCGGGGTGTGTGCGAGACCCCCGAGCGGAAAAGTGCGCGCGCGCGCGTGCCCGTACGTGTGTGTGTGTGTGCACATTTTCCCCCTTCGATCTCGGTGGTACACGGTAATCACACGTCCTTGGCGGTCGCGCCAGAGCCCGGACCCCCGCCAGACGGAGACGCCACCTCCACCTCACTCCTGCATCTGCACCCAGCAGTACTCCTCCACATACCCGCCGAGCGCCGGCTCCGTCGCCGCGTCGACGGGCGCCATGTGGATTCCCTTCACCCGCACCCGCTCGCCGGCCCCCTCCGCCCCCGCCGCCGCCTCCCCGCTCGCCGCCTCTCCCTCCGCCGCCGCGACAGCGTCCAGCTCGACGGCCCAGCGGCCGCTCGGCTCGTGCCAGCTGAGGACGGTGCCGGTCGCTCCGTTGAGGTCGGCGCGGCTCAGTCCCTGCAACACGATCCTCCGGCCCACGGCCGCCTCGGCCGCGGCGGCGGTCGGCGGCGCGGGCAGCCCTCCCCACCCCTCGGCGGGGAGGGCGGTCGACGCACCCGGCTGCTCGGGCGGCGTGCAGCCCGCCTCCCTCGCCTGCGCCATGAACACACACCGAGGGTCAGGGCGGGAGTACGGTCTGACGCCGCGTCTTCAGAGGACACGGGCAATGAATGCACTGTATGCAGCCGAGCACGGCGGCTGCAGCTACATACGTGTCCTCTCGAGAGCGCTAGTCACGCATTCCGCTTCTAGGCTTGCTCGCCGCCTCGGCCGGCTGGGCCTGCCGGCGGGACAGCGGCCAGATGGCGCAGGAGGCGGCGCACGTGTAGATGGCGACCGTCGCAAAGTCGGGCGCCTAGTCAGTGTCTAGGAAATGTCTACGAAGTGTCTAGGGACCGTCGCAAAGTCGGGCGCCTGGTCTCGCCGCGCCCTTGGGTCACCAAACGGCCGTCTCGGGAAGGCTCTTCGCAGAGGCGGGCGGAAGTGTCTAGGGAGCGTCTAGGGAGTGTCTAGGAAGTGTCTCGGGAGTGTCTAGGGAGTATCTAGGGAGTATGGGAGATCTCCCCACATCTCCCCCATATCTCGCCGCCTTGTCGTCGGCCGCGTCGACGCCCAAGTAGTGGAGCGCCTGCGGCAGGGCGGCGAGATGTGGGGAGATGTGGGGAGATGTGGGGAGATATCGTCGACGCCCAAGTAGTGGAGCGCCTGCGGCATCAGCTGCATCTCGAAGCGGCGCGGCCCGCCGCAGAGGGGGCACGCCGGCACGGGGTCTGGCGCCCTCCCCGCCTTGCCCGCCCAGAGCGGCGCCGCACCCTCCTCGAAGCAGTACCGCACCGCCTGCGCCGGAGCGCGCGCCAGGCGAGCCTACAGGACAAAGGCACCATGGAGGCACCAGCACTACAGGACGAAGGCACCATGGAGGCACCAGCATCGGGGCGGGAGGAGGGTGTCGTGCAGAGGAAGAGCACCGTGGAATGCACGGGCTGCGAATACCACGAATACAGCCAAACGCGGCCGAACAGCGGAGTGCGTGTCCTCTCTAGCGCCGGTGGGAAGACAAGAATGCGTCTTCGGCGTCTAGGCGGGCGAACCGTGAAGGCGCCGAACTCGGTGAGCCGCGGGTCTTGCGAGCGGAGGTCCTCGACCGCCTCCTCCTGCTCCTCCTCGTCCAGAAGCGGCCCGCCCTTCTCCCCGCCGCCCTTCTCCCCGCCACCCGCCTCGACGCAACCTTTCCCGACCGCTGCAGCGCCGTCGCCGCCGGTGCCGGCGCCGGTCGACACGCCGCGCACCGCCCGCATCAGCTCCTGCAGCCGCCCGTCGCGATCGACCGCCTCCTCCGCCGCCTCCTCCTCCGCCGGCTCCTCGTCGATGCTCAGCTCGTGCTCGTGGTACAGCGGCGGCGGGCCGCCACCGCCACCGCCACCGCCACCGCCGCCGCCACCGCCACCGCCGCCGCTGTTGGCCCATAGTGGGCAGCGGGCGGAGGCGAGCCGCGCCTCGGCTAGCGTGAGCGCGCGCGGCGCGTCGCCCTCCTCGGGCGGCTCGTGCGGGTAGTGGCTGTTGTCTCGCGGCAGCTGGCAGCGAAAGGCACGGACGGCGCCGGGCCGCGAGAGCGACGGGCCGTGCGGCGAGAGGAAGAGGAGGATGGAGCGGTGGAAGGCGTGCGGCTCGTCCGACGCGGCGGCGTACACCTGCGCCACAAAGCGCAGCGGCTCGCCGCTTGCGCCACACCGGAGCTGCCTCTCGGTCGGAAGGTTGACGGGGTCGAGCCACGCAGGAGCGCCGCCGAGCTTGGAGGGGAAGTGGTTGCGGGCAAGCAAGGAGGGCTCGCTCACGTCCGCGGCGAAGCCGAGCATCACCGTCGGCTCCTCCTCATCGTCCGAGGAGTCGGAATAGTAGCCACTGGGCATGCGGGGCGAGAACGTGGCCTGCGGCACCCGGCCCACCCCGCCGAGCGGCACCCCCCCCCCCCCTCGGCCGGCGGAAGCCCGCCGGCCGGGCGGCGAACGTGGCCCTCGAGCCAGCCCCCGCGGCACCCGACACGACACTGGCCCTCGCGCCCCGACACGATACAATGACCCGGCGAACCGGTGAGTACTCCCTCGGCCTCGCCCGCAAGCGCGTGACGTGACAACGACTACGACTACGAACTAGTGCGATCGTACTAAAAGGTAAGCCCGAGGATCTATCTATAAAAATAAAGGTAGGCGAGGTGGTCGAAAAAATAATCGCCGCTCGGCTCGCTGCTCCCCTCTGTCGGCGTGGCGCGGAAGAGCCAAGTGTATCTGCTCGTCTCCGCTGTCTACGTGCCGGAGGATGATTCTCCCACTCGCTCTCGTCCTCGGCCTGCTGGCGCCGCACAGCAGCGCGCCGATCGTGACAACTGCACCCAACTCTGGCGCCACCGCGTTTGCATTCACCCCGCGTCTGCAGCGCGCCCCTCTTCACCCCACACCACCTCCGAGTGCCATCTTTCCCGCCGCTGTCCTTGCCGACGCCACGCCGTTCGAGAGAAATGCTGACTTGAGCCTCGGGGCGCTGCTTGGCGTGTTAGCCCCCTTTATCTTTGCCGCGGCGGTGTTTGGCGGCTTCTACCGGCTGTTCAAGCTCTTCTCATCCGAGTTCTAAGAGAGAGAGAGAGGGAGGGAGAGGAGCTACAGCGGATGTGAGTGAACAGCATGCACGGAATTAAGCCTCGAGCAGTCCTGGAGATTGTGAGTCAGGTGAGATGTGTCGGAAGCAGCCGCTTAGTCTATAGTCTGCGTCGCCCTCTGTGTCTGCATTTCACATATTTTTCTCGTCGCATCCCGGCCGCACGCACAGGCTTCATGCGCCAAAATATAGCAAAAGACTCTCCAAATCAGAGCATGCAACGCCAAAGGCAAAGCCAGGCTAACTCTCCGCCGCCCCTCAACCTCCCTCAGCCTCCCTCTCCGCCAACCGCCCGCCGCGCCCGGGCCGCGTCTAGTGCTGCAGCGCGTCGATCGCCTGCTGCATCCTCTCCAGCCGCGAGGAGAGCCGCCCCTCCGCCTCTGTCTGCCCCGACTGCGCCTCACGCACCGCCACGGCAAGCGCCTCCGCCTCCTCCGCCGCAAACGCCGCCGCCCGCGCCGCGGCGTCGGCCCTCAGCGCCTCCTCCGCGCGCCGAGCCGCGTGCGCCATCTCCTGCCGCTCCGCCTCGGCCGCCGCCATCTCCTGCCGCTCCGCCTCGGCCGCCGCCATCTCCTGCCGCTCCGCCTCGGCCGCCGCCTCCCTCTCGGCCGCCGCCACCTGCTGTGCCGCTGCGACCTCTCCTGTCGTGGCCGGCTCCGCTGCCGCCTTCTCTCGCGGCGGCGGCGCGGGCGGGGCAGCGCGTGGCGGCGGCGGAGCAGCGGGCGCCGGTTTCGTCGCTTTCGTCGCTTTCTTCGCCGTCTTCGCTGCTAGTGGGGGTGCGCTGGCTGGCGTGGGGGACGCAATCTCGGGCGAGGCGGCGACGATGTCCGCATATATGGTCGCCTTTGTGCGCCCCTTACCCGAGGTGGAGATGTCGAGACCGTGCGCTTTGACAAATGCTCGCATCTCGGCCAGCGGAGAGGCCTCCGTCAAGCCGTGCGGTGCGTCGCCCCCAGCCATGCGGCACGCACTGCGCAGAGGGCGAAGCACACCGAGCGGCCGAGTGCGCGTGCCCACGGCCTCGGCGCAGAGCGCGACCGCGAACCAAATCACACCTCTCATGACGGCGCTGGAAGTAAAAAACGGTGCGGCACCAACCTCCACAAGTGCTCCAAGTGCTCCACAGCACTGGGGGCAGGGAGGTGCGCACTGGCGCGCCAAGAATTGTTGGCGGACCAAAAAACGGCGTTTTTGCAAATTAGTGCTAAATCCGAGACGCGGTCACGCACTGCACGCAACGGTCAATACCGCATGTTGCTCTCTCGGCCTCTCGCAGCCTGCTTCACGCGGCTGGCGCCGGAGGCTTGAGATTTGTGGCGACGAGCTGGTCGAAGTATGCCATCGCCTGTTCACAGCTCTCTTGTGTGTGTGTGTGTGTGTGTGTGTTCACAGCTGTCCTTCTGTCCGATGGAGAGGGTCAGTCCATTGCCTGCTTGACGTAGGCGCGGCGCTCATTGTAATCTCCGGGATAGAACGATCGCTTGAAGCCGGCGCACACCACGTCGCGCAGCTGCTCGAGGGTCATGTCGAAGGTGGACACCGCCATGGCGAACTCGTTGACCGTCGTGGTGTTGGAGACGAGCCGGTTGTCGGTGGCCAGCGTCGCCGACACCTTTGCGTCGAGCATCCTGCGGAAAGCGTGGTCCTCGAGCTTGAGCCCCGGCATGGTGTTGAGGTTCGAGGTGAGGCAGACCTCCATGGTGATCCGCTTGTCGCCCACCCACTTGACCATCTGGCGGACGTACGCGGCGGCCGCCTCCTCGCGGTCGTCCTGCTGGTTGAAGGCGGGGGAGAAGTGCTCCCTCTCGGTCGAGAAGAGGTGGAAGCCATGGCCGATCCGCTCCGCGTGCAGGAACTGCACCGCCTGCGCAATCGACTCCGGACCAAACGCCTCGCCCGCATGCACCGTCTTGCAGAGGAAGTTCTCGTGCGCGAGCGCAAACGCCTCGGAGTGGGGGCGTGAGGTCAGAGGCGGGCGAGGAGGCAGGAGACGCGAAGAGGAGAGCGATGAAGCGTGGGGGAGGGCAAACCTTGGTGTGGACCATCGCCTCATTGTCGAGCTCAGCTCCGGCGATGTCGACGCCGACGATGGGGACGCCGTCGAGGTCGCGCGACTTGATCGCCGCCTGGACCATGATCACGCTCGCCATGCTGGACAGAGCCTCTTTCGGCTCGTCGGGGTGCATCGCGTGCAGGCCGTCGTAGAAGCGCGACATGCCTGGGAAGAAGAGGCGCATTGCAGAGCAGATGATGCCGTACTCGTAGGGCGGCTCGCCCACGCGCGTCGGAGGCGTCGCGCTCTGCGCCTGCTTGAGGGAGGCGTTGAACTCGTCGCGCGCCTTCCGTAGCCCGCGGTCCACTGCCAGGAGCACGTCGCGGATCGAGAAGTCATCCTTGGGGTCGAGAGACGAGAGCAGCTGCGGCGCAAACCTCACCTCAAAGTACCTCACTCCCTCGGAGAACTCGTCCTCCGCAAACTCAAAAGCGACCCGCTCGCACGCCGCGGCCGTCTTCATCACCGCTGTGGTGTACATGAAGCCGGCGAGGTACTCGTTGAGGTCGGCGTATTGCGGCCGGAAGACCGTCTTCCGCAGCTCCGCCTCCGACGTCGACGGCAGCGAGACGCCCGCCTGCAACTCAGAGGAATCTCCTCAACTCTCCTCTCTGACATACTCTCAGCTACATCGGGTGCCTCCGCAGCCAGCTCGATGAGCGTTGACACGCGGAGGCTTCCGTCAAGGTGGACGTGGAGGTCGGTCTTGGGCATGGCGCGGAGGAAGTCCTCGCTGACGCCGGCCGCCGCACACGTCTGGGAGTAGGCTATACGCGTGCCCCCCTGTGGATAGTCTACCATGGAGGCCATCGAGAGAGCTGCGCAGGGACCTTCCGTCCGGCCTGGGTGGTCAAAATTACGTTCGTTGTGAAGAGTCGCGCGCCACTCCCACGAGCCTAGGTACGTGCGGATCTGGCGACAGCTAGGATGCATCTCCTCCGTCGTTTTTCGCGCGATGGCCCTGAGAAGCTGGCGGTGCACGCAGGCGGACCTTGTGTGTGCACGGAACGCTTAAAAAGTGGGTGCTCTACGTCACTTTTTTTGAGTAGATAGTGCCGAGCTGGCCGTGACAGCGTTTTGGGTAGTTTTTGAGGGTTTTTGAACAGACTTTTTGCAACTAGTCGCGTGGAGGGCGTGGCGGCATGCGCGGCCAGGGCGCAGGCAAGTGCCAGAGGGTATTGGGGTGGGCGGCACCCTGGGGCTGCCCTTAGCATCGACCTGAAGGCAACACCCAACGAGATGTGTTGGTCAGAGGATGCATACTCGTGGTATGGACCGCTCTGCTCCGATGAGTGCTATCCGATACAGTCCGAATCCAACAATTACATCGCCTTGCGAGGTAGCACTGCTGGTCGTTCCAATGTGCTGTACGCAGAATTTCAGACGGGCAGCCAGCGCACGGCCGATGTCAACTTTTCCAGCCCAGACTTTCGAGAGCTGTACGATATGGACACCGACCCGTGGTCGATGAACAACCTGGTCTATGGACCCCACGCCCAGGCGGGTGCCATCGGTGAGGTACCACAGCTCCACGCAGCGTTGATGGCGTGGTACTCGTGTGCGGGCAAGGACTGCTGGGATCTTTGACGGGCAAGCGGTACGCGGCGCTTGAAAAGCATGGCATGGTGATGATTTGGCGCCCGGAGGGGGGGGGGGGGGGGGCTGTTGGCCTGTAGCCATGTTTCCGGAAACCAAAAAGGAAACGAGAGGTCCCAGGCGACCTTCCGTCCGGCCGGTCAAAATTATTCACATCACGAAGCACCCCGGTTCCGAGTGTATCTTGTGAGCTGTGTGTGTCTGTGTGTCGCTCGAGCGTGTCTAACCGCGGCCCCCGCTGCCAATCGCGCGGTGCTCTCCCAGCCCAGCCGAACGTCCTGCCTGGTCCTCCGTCCGAAGGCGTCGTCGCCGACGTCGTTGAAGTTGAAGCCGAGCCGCGCGACGCGCGGGCACGCGCCGGGCGCGCGGAGCGCGGCGCACAGCGCGACCGCGCCCGCCGCGCCCGCGGCGCAGCGCGAGAGGAAGAGGCCGACGAGGCGCGACGACGCCGCGCCGCCGGCGCGCGCGAGGCACGCGCCGCCGAGCGCGGCGACGCCCGCCGCGCCGAAGGACTCGTTCTGCGAGAGGCCGAGCTGCGTGAAGCGCGGCTCGCGCTCGAGGAGCGCGGCGAGCGACGCGGCCTCGGCCGGCACGACGCGCGCGCGCCGAGCTCGAGGTAGGTGTCGCCGGGCGCGCCGCCGCGGCGCGCGTGCTCCGCGAGCAGCGCGTCCGCGTCGCGCGGCGTCGCGGCCGGCGCGGCGGCGCGGTCGCCGCAGCGCGCGAGCGGCACGCACTCGAAGCGGTCGCCGCGCCGCCGGCCCGCGTTGTCGCGCGCGACGACGGCTTGCGCGGCCGCGCGCGTCATCTCGCCGTCGAGCTCGCGCACGAAGCCGTCGCGCGCGTGGACGAAGGCCCAGCGCCTCACGCACGGCCTGCGCGTCGTGATCGGGCCGGGCTCGGCCATTTGCGAGGATAAGCTCGTCGTTGGCAGCGGTGCGCTCCACCCCGACAGGGCACCAGCCCGCGCGCAGGGTTGCAAGATATAGGGTAACTCCGGAGGGCCGGGTGCTGTCCGAGTCTCCCGAGGGTTGCTCTGGAGATCTCGTGGGTAGCGATTGCAATTTGTGCACCTGTGCCACATGACAACCTCGCTGCCTGTGGATGATGTCGCGCGCGAGCGGACGCGGTGCTAGAGCTCCCCCCCCCGTTGTGCGTGAATGCCGTCATGCCCTGATTTGCACAGTCACAACGTCGGGACCGAGAGCAGGTGAGAATCCGATGTCGGCCGCGGCCGCGGTCGCGGCGGCCCTCCTTCTCGCGCTCCCGCCCGAGCGCAGCAGCTGCCTGCGGCTCCGGCGGCGCAGAAGCTTGCCAGCCTCGAGCGGCGGCGCTGTCGGCGGTGCGCACCGCAGGCTCGGCGGTGCACGTCACGCTCGCGATTTCTGCTCCCGACGCGAGCAGCCCTTCGACGCTGCTGCCGTCTGAGCAAGCCACACGGCACAGCGGCAGCGCCTTCGGAGGCTTGCCGCGGGCGGTGCGGGTGAAGCGAGTCACGCTCCGAACGGAGAGTCCCTGCGCTTGGAGCGCCGCCGCAACTTCGTCCTCCGTCAGGGCGGTGGGCACGTTGCGCAGCACGACGTCCATGATGGAGCTCCAGTGGCGTCCATTTTCGACTTCCGAGCTTTTAGACCGTAAACTTCCGTCGTAAAATTCTTGTGAGCTTAGCCTTCGATGTTATGAAACAAACGCAAGGCGGACATGACACATCGCTCTCGGGCCCACAAACATCCCGCACACCCGCCCATAAACGCACAACCCCGGGCCCCGAAATAGCACAGTGACAGTCAGACATGCAACACGGGGACTCTTCTTGTTCACTCGCAAAGTTCTTTACTGACGTCCGCGAAGAAGTCTTGCGCCGGAGAAATGAACCCGCTGAAGAGCGGAGGGAGAAGCCTATCCACGCGCTGTGGCGCCATGTTCGCAGAAAGATGGCTGGGTTTGTTGAGCACTTGAAGGCTGGATAGGGTCGATTCCGCGTGGTACGGGACCCCTCGATCGTCTCGCCCTCCCTCACTGGAGTGTTCATTGGGGGGGGGTCATAACGAACACGGTACCGGATCGAGGTGCACGCTGCCGAAGCAGTGTCGTCCCCCCTCTCCTCGACGGTGATGGCGGTGGTGACCGATCGAGCTACAAGAGGAGCTTGTTCAGCGGGATCCGGGACAGGTCTGGTGCACTACCTCACTGGGCCTGCCGCCAACTGGGCGACGCCGTCGCTCCCACAGATCCCGGCGCGACGGACGACATTGACGAGGGGGGACGCTACCCCGCAGCGGTGGGTGATCATCGGCGACTGACTCACAACTGCGCTCTCTATAGAAGCTGCGATTACCATCGCGATCCCTGTCGAGTCCGCCCCCAATTTCTTTTTTCGTGCGGCAGCGGGGCGCGGGGCAAGAGGGCAGGGGGGCGGCGAGGGAGGGGGGGGGGGGGGATCTCGACAGGGAGGCCTGGATCTCGGCCTTGACCTTTGACCATCAGCTCGAGGTTTTGGTATTTCTTTTTTCACACGGGTTTTTCCAGCCAGCTGAAGCTTTCGGTTCCTGGATATCACCTGGAGCCGCCCGCAGATCGACTCAGCCTGCGCCACAATGCTATCGCATAGCACATTCCGCCGGCGTATGCGGCCCACCAACTAACTACGCGAATCACCATCTGCACCCTCCCCTCCCTGGAAGATGATGGCGTCGCGCGAGTCTCTCGAGGCCGAGCGCAGCAGGGCGAGCGCCTCTCACGACTCGCCGCCGTGCCCATGGCCACCGCACGGTTATCCCGGCCACCGCACGGTTATCCCGAGCCCGTGCCCCGCGAGCTTGGCGGGGATGAGCCAGCTCTCCGGCCTTGCCGAGATGTCGCTCGAGAAAGGGGGGCAAGGAGGGGCGGCAGGCGAGCCGCCACGCCTTGCCTACCGCCGCGCAGACAGCGCGCTCCAAACTCTCGTCTCTCAACTCGCCTCCGCGCCCCTCCTCTGCCGTCAACTCGCCTCCGCGCCCCTCCTCTGCCGCCGCAGGAGGGAGTCTGGAAGAAGTACGTCAAGGCGGACGGCCGGAAGTGGTACTACAACACCGAGACCAGAGTGATGCAGTGGACTGTGCCTGAGCCCTTCTGCAAGCTCGACGGTGCCCCGCGTCTTTTGATAGCCCGTGACGGGGTAACCCGCGCGCGGGGAAGCTTCACGGGTTCGAGCCGTCAAACATTGAGCAGCGGAGGTGTGCCGAGGGGGACCGGGAGGCGGTAAGCCGTCGTCGCCCGGCGCTGCATGCAGCACCGTGGCGATGGCGCTAAGAGGTTCCTCTTTTCCGCGCCCCCCCCGCAAGGCGCGCGATACATGACATCTCAGATACTGCAGTCGTATTCAGACGCACAAGTGTGCCGAGATGATAACCTCATCTTGGGTTAGTCCATGCATCCCAGGATGCAATGTGGCATCTGAGGATGCGCAATGCATCTCAGGAACATGAGCGCGTTGTCGGATTTTTTCCAATTTTTCGATCGACAGTGTCGGAGATAGTGTAGAAAAGTCAGCATTCTTAGGGGACCCCTAGGCTTAAAAGGGTGGGCCCTGGGGCGCCTGCGGCTTAAACGGCTTAAAACTTGCCATGGCAAGTTTTAAGAGCTGCTGGGCCGCCAATTCCTTAAACGGTCTTAAACGCTTAAACGGTGCGGGAGAGCTCCCGAGGTCGATGGTCCGGGAGGCTCCAGGTAGACACGCCGGAGGCCGGGAAGCCGGCTACAGTCAGCTAGCACGCGTCCCCTATGCGAGTATGGCTCCTGCCAGTGCACCGCTGGTCGTGCGTGGTAAAGCCGTCCCTTTGGTCCGATCTGCCTTCAGCTCAGAGAGAGAGAGAGAGAGATGTTGTTTGTGTTGTTCAGCTGCCGAATTTAAAATTCCCGACCGAAACGACATACATGCACATGCACATGTGCATGTAGCGCCGACCAACCACCAAGATAGTCAACCAGCGAGACGACTGCACCGTCCTTGAGCCGTCACGTCTGACACGGCTTTGTTTGGCCTTTGCCCTCGGCCTTTGCCCCCTGCCTGCCCCCTCCCCGCCCGCCGCGCTTGGTTGCTTTAACCTTTCATGCGCTTCATTTGCTGCAGGAGCGCGGCCGGGGTGCCGTATCCATGCGGGTCGTAAGGTTGCGCGGCGGCGCCGGCGGGGTGCGCGCACGCGCAGCACGATTCCCTGCAATCGACGCCGATCGGGTCGCCCTTGACATCGCTCAGGTCCGCCTTGACGGGCGGTGGGAGGCGGTGAGGGCAGGGGCTGTGGGGGCAGCAAACTGGGCAGCGACAGCGAGGAGCTTGGGGGGCCATGTTGGGGGGAGAGCTGGGAAGAATTCGTTTGTGAGAGTGTCAGGGGCAGAGGGGGCAGAGGGGGCAGGGGGGGGGGGGGGCCTTGTCGATGCCGACGGCGTCGGAGAAGCTCGCCCTGCTCACGCTGGCGTGCCTAGAGAAGGGAAAGTCGCCGATGCGAAGAAAGAAGTAGGGCCGGGCAGCGGGCCACGCTGGCGTGCACTGGAAATTTGCGTCGGTCAGCACGGCCCTGTCGAAGGAAGCGTAGTCGAGCATCGCGCCGCTCAGATCAGAGAGGGCAAGGTTAGCCCCCTATTGTGCAGGGCTGTTGTGGTGGGAGCAGCCATATGGAGATTGAGAGTCGGTCGGTCGGTCGGTCGCTCTCTCTCTCTCTCTCTCTCTCTCTCTCTCTCTCTCTCTCTGTGTGTGTGTGTGTGTGTGTGTGTGTGTCTCCGTCTGTCCGTCTGTCCGTCTCTCTGTCTGTCTGTCTCTCTGTCTCTCAGTCTGTCTGTGTCGTGTCTCTGTCTGTCCTCACTCTTTGGTGGCGCGCCTCGAAGTCGCAGTATGAGCACCTTGCCTTCGAGAGCTGCGCCTCCTTGAGGTGCGTCCACCGGAAGGTGGACTGGCTCATCACTGCGCCCGCCCAGCGGACCTGGTCGAGGGTGCAGCCGTCAAAGTTGGTGTTCATCAGGTTGGCGCCTGTGCAGGTATGTGAGGCAAGGCTAAAGGAAACGTAGGTATGGAGAGGGCAATCAGTGTAAGAGTTGTCCATACCCGTCGAAGGCGACGCGGTGGCGAGTGGAGCGGAGGGGCGTGGGAGGCGGCAGGGAGGAGAGGCAGAGGGGCGGCGCAGGGAGAGTAGCAGGGAGAGGGCAGCACAGCGGGGCTTGGACGTCCGCCTTCGAAGCCCATGTCGCTCATTACCGCGCCCGTCCACGTGGCGCCGCCAAAGAAGGAGAAGAAGAAGGAGATGTCCTCATACTTGGAGCCCTGCAGCTTGGCGTCCTCAAACGAGCCGTAGTGCAGGTGGCAGTCGGTCACGGTCGTGTCTCGCAGGTCGACGCGATCAAAATTGACCGAGTCGGCGTCGTACAGTGCGCGGATGTTTGCGTGGCGAAGGTCTGCGTCAGAAAAGTCGGCGTGCGCGATGGCAGGTCCCGTCATTGTGGCGTACTGCAGGTTCGCTTTGCGAAAGGTGGTGCCTCGTAGGTCGCTCTCGTCCAGCTTCACGCCTTCCCCATTGATCCGCTCAAAGCTCGCGTATTGCGCAGAGATGCGCATGAGGTTGGCGCGCCCGAGCCTCGCGCCGGTGAGGTCGGCGTAGTCGAGGATCGCTTCGGCGAGGTTTAGACCCTCCAGATTCGCGCCGCGCAGATTTCGGCAGGCGGTAAAGTCGAGGCCGGGTCGGTCCTGCTTCGCAAGCGCCTCGCACTCTGCCACCGGCCGCGCCATCGCCGCCTGGTGCGCGGGCGAATTTATCGCGGCATCGCGCCTGTCGGGGTCCTGGCCCACGGCGGAGTAGGCTAGGAGGCAGACGGCGAGGGCAGCGACTCGCGGAGGCATCCGTGATGGGTTTTGGCGACTAGCGGCGGAGTCGGCGGCGGAGGCCGCGGAGGCGCCGGGGTGGGGTATTTATGCTCGGCGGTCGGCACAGACAAGACGCCGCGATGTGGAGAATTCTTAAGGCACAAGCCTCTCTCACAGCACACTGGCACGACAAGGGCGCGGACTGGCGCGGACTGGCACACACACCGGCTCACCGATGTGGAGAAACATGCCAGGCTGCTTGGCTTTGATCGGTTTGAGAAGCACATACGCCATCATCACACGGGTCATCCCGCAAAAGGCAGGGAGGATTGCGTGTGCGCCAAGGAGCTAGCACTTGATGTCCTCATCAAGGCGGGCAGGGAGATGTAGCTTCCGACGTCGCGGCGGCGGCCGCGCACGCGCGCCGCGCGTCTGGGCGTCGCTCCTCCGGCCGGTGAGCGCGTTAATGACTTCGTTCGTTGAGCAGTGCGTGAATGAACTAGGCGACCGGAGCCGCTGCCTCGCCCGGAGGGAGGGGCGCTGCCTGGCTTCCGAGGGGTGGGCGGCATGGCTGCGGCAAGGGAGCCTAGACGCGGAAGCTTCTACTGTCCTTGTGCTCCGGCTAGCCTCTCCCCAGGGAGATGTGGGGAGATGTGGGGAGATATGCTACGGCTAGTCTCTCGAGAGGACACGCCCTCCGCGGTACTCGGCCGCACCCCGCCGTATCCACTGTCTTCGCAGCCCCTCGCCTTCACGCGGTGCTCTGAGTACGCTGCACGAGGCCGTCCTCCCGTCTCACGGGTTGTCCGCCCACGGCGTAGGCCAAGGAGGCGCTGACGCAGGCGGTGCTGCTGCCGCTCCGCCACCCCGCCTCCTTCGCGGCCGCGCCCCTCCGGCTCCGGTCGGGCGCACTGCTGCACGGCCCTCCCGGCTGCGGCAAGACGTTGCTGGCAAGGGGGCCGTCGCTGCTGAGAGCGGCCCCCCCCCTCTTCCTGGCCATCTGCGCCCGACCTCCTTTTGCCATGGGCGGCGCGACCTTCGCTTGTTAGGTCTCGCCTTCATCAGCGGCCCAGATCTCCCCATACCTCCCCACATCTCCCCACATTTCCCTGGTTAGGTCTCCCCTTCATCAGCGCGTCTCCGGGCCCGAGCTGCTGGACAAGTACATCGGCGCGTCCGAGGCGAAGGTGCGCGTACGCGTCCGCAAAGGGCCGTCCACTCATCGAGTGCATTCTTCGGTGAATGGTGAATGAACCAGCCAACGTTAGGTGCGCGACACGTTCGCGAGGGCGAGCGCCGCCGCGCCGTGCCTCCTCTTCTTCGACGAGTTCGAGGCGTGCGGCCGCTGCGCCGGCCGCGCCCCGCGGACGCGTCCTTGACGCGTCCGCGACACGTCTCTCGCAAGGCGCTCGGCCGCGCGCGCGGCTGCGACTCGACCGGCGTGACGGATCGCGTGGTCAACGCAGATCTCCCCATATCTCCCCATATCTCCCCACATCTCCCCTCCTCTGCCACCTGGACGGCGTCGAGGCCCTCGGCGCCGTGTTTGTGCTCGCAGCCTCCTCGCGCCCCGAGCTGATCGACCCGGTTCCTCTGCTTCGGCCGGGCTGTTCCGTTGATGAACTCGTTCGTCAGTTGACCCGTTGCTGAACCATCAGGCCCTGCTCCGGCCCGGCCGGATCGACTTGGCGGTGGCGTGCGGCTTGCCCGACGAGGAGGAGCGGCTGGCCATCCTCGCCGCCCTCGCGCGCCCGCTCGGGCTGCCGCTCGCCTCACTCCGCCGCCTCGCCGCCATCGCCGCGGCCACGGCCGGCTACTCGGGCGCCGAGCTGCGCGCGGTCCTCAACGCGGCGCAACTCGCGGCGGCAAGGGAGGCGGGGGGGGCCGCCGCCGGGGCGGCGCAGGCGGCGACGCCGCGGGCGGCGGCGCCGCTCTGGGCGGCGGCGCCGCTCTCCGCCTCCACCGCCGCGGACCGCGCCACCGCCGCGTCGGCGGCGCGCCTGCTCGCGGCGGTGTCGCCCGGGTGGTGCGACGCGGCGGCCGTCTGGCGGGAGGAGCTGCGGCGTGGCGCGGGCGGCGGCGGGGCGGCCGACGTTGGCACCGGGCCGCCGCCGATCGAGGTGCGCCACCTCGACGAGGCGCTCCGCTCCTGCCAAGACAGCCGCTCCTCTGGCTCTGCCTCCGCGCCGTCGTCGTCGTTTGGGAGCGCAGTGGGGGCGGGGGGCGGGGACGCCGTCCGCCAGCCACGCTGCCGCGCGTCATGCACGCATGAAAATAAAGATGCGTAGGTCCGCTTCCGTTAACCCTTTCAGGACGAGAACTCAAACGAATGGCCAAATAAATAAATAAATAAAAGGGACACCTCTACTGTGAGATGGGTAAAAAGGCCAGCCTCCAGCCAAATCTGGGCACACCGTTTAAAGTGTGTTGTGTGGGGGGGGGCCGCGCGCGCGGACGTCACGACGTCGACGACCCTAGGACTGCTGCAGGCGGAGAAACGTGCGCGAGCGCCTCGTAGATCGCCTCGGAGTCGAAGAAGAGGTTGTCAGCATCGCCACAGGCCTCCATCGGCACTGCGTCGCTTGTGATGGCCACACCTTGCAGCCCGTAGCACAGGACCGTCACGGCGGCGCCGATGGTGGACCCTCGCGCCCTGAGGTTGGCCGCCGCCCTCAGCTTGTGGTGCCCGTCGAGGATGAGGCACAGGCCGACGCGCAGGAAGTCCGAATGTCCATTTCCATGCTCAAAGTTTTGGCAGTCGAGGGCGGCCCTCCGCTCCGCCGCCTGCTCCTCGGCGCTTCTTGGCAAACTCTGCGACGCAGTCTCAACGAACTCTGCAAGCCATTCGCGCATCGCCGCGGCCGCTGCCGCCGAGCGGTTGTAGCCAGCGGCGGCCGCGCCTTCCGCCCGCTGAAGCACGGCGCGCAGATTCGCAATCTCGCGGTCGTGGAACATGTAGCCGGTGAGCGAATTGACCTCCATGCCGCTGTGGACTTCGCGGTTGTACGGCAGGCCGCAGCACAGCGCGAGGACGACGGGGCGCGCGCCCTCTCGGATCTGATCCTCGTAGCGTCGGACGGCGGCCGCGTCGTGAGGCTCGTGCAGCGGCGCAAGCAGCAAGTGGGTCGGGCAGTGCGTGGCGCGGTACGGTACACGGTGGCGGTACACGTAGGGCCAACCAAACGTCGGGCCAGCATACGCCTGTCGACAGCTGGCCAGGCCGTCGAGGAATGTAAAGGCGTCTGCCGCCTCGACCATCTCAATACGCGCCCGGAAGGCGGCCACCTGATAGTCGTGCGACGGAAGGAACCTGCCGAGCCGGCGCAGCCACTCCGCATCCATCAGAAGTTCGCCAAGGCGCGTCTGCAGCTCGTTCCTCAGTACGCCCGTCGACCGCCCAAACAGGGTCGTCAGCGTGTCCCAATTGCTGCCCAGATCCAGCAGCGCGTCGGAGTCACTCTTCAGCCTGAGCGCCCACTCGCCTTGCACGGCATCGAGCTCGAGCACTGTCGTGGCATCGTCATTGTCCAACCGGAGCGGCAGACTCACACTGCAGCGCACGCCAGCGAGGTGAGAGAAAAGGGCATAGCCACCAGCACTGGGCGAAGCCGCAGATGGCGAAGGCGGAAGCATGCGGCACCATCGATGCCATACCGAGGCGTCAGTCAGGATGGCGGTCCACCCGCGCTGCGCCAGAGCACAGGCATGCAGCGAGCGCGGCGCCAGAAGCGGGCAGATCAGCGGACGGAACAGCGTGTACTCAAGCACGTTGTCCCTTGCGCTGGCAGCGACGGCGGGCGCGTCATCGACGGTTGAGCTGGCCGCTGGGCCGGTCGGCGCTGTCGCGTTATTGCTCGTCATGCACGCGCTGGCTGGTCGCGCACGCGCGTAGGTGTGCCGTCGGGCTCAACGATGCGTTACGACCCGGCCGGCCCGCCTACTGTACTTTCCCTACTGCAGCATACACACCCAGCCAGCGTGAGTCGGCGCGTGCTTGCTGAGAGACTATGGAAACTTCACGTCACGACGGTTAAAACGGCTGTTAACGGTCGCGACGTGGTCAATAAGGCTAAGTGCTCTGTGTCCTTCAAAGAACGCATGGCCATGGTCCATTGAGGGGTGACTATGCCCTAGAGGTTTTCTTTTTTATTTATTTGTTTGCCCTGCCAGTGCTTTGCCCGGGTTTCTGCTGGGGCTCTCCCGCAAGGGGAGCCCCGGGTACTCTTTAGCTGTACTCGTCTAGGCAGGGGTTGGAAAGAAAGAAAAGAGACAACACAGGGGAGGGATGGGAGGACGGTACGCCGCCACCACACAGGGATTTCAAGTGTTCCGTAGGTAGGTAGGTAGAAAGGTGAAGAACAGCCAGGCTCGGACTGGACACCAACGCGGTCATTGGTATGTTCCGTGAGACGCGAGGTACGCGCGCGTTGGACTTTTCACTCCGGACAAAGACGGGTACCTGCGGCCGTGTCGCCGTCATAGCGGCGAGGCGCGGGACCGTCTGTGGCGAAGTGGGTCGCGTCCCTCGTGCTCGATTTCCGTCAACTCGCGCGTGACGGTTCCTTCCCCTGAAAAGACATTCTTGATATCTTTTCGCCATGTGCGCTCTTGGGTCTACGTCTGGTCTACGTCTTGGGCGTTGGCCCTTGGCCGTTGGCGTTGCCGTGTTGGGGGGCGAGGCTGACGGTTGCGTGTAAGTGAAAAACTAACTTCAGAGCTCTCTAATGACTAGGAAGTCTCGCCGCCCGCTCGCGGTGTCGAGCCACACCTCTGTGTGCGCGAAACAGGCCTCGCGCTACTTCGCTTTCGCAACTTTCTTCTTGAGCTTTGCGCCCGGCGCCAGCTTTGGCAGCGGGAAGCGCGTCCCGCACACGGCGCACTCGCGCAGCGAGTGCTTCTCGAAGACGGCGAGGCAGACGGAGCAGGTGTACCCGATGTCGAGGTGGCGCTTGGTGAGTGTGCACACCGCGCGCGTCTCGAGCCTCGACTGCGGCGGCGGAGCGAGCAGCCTGCGGCAGTGCTGGTCGGGCAGCACCTGGCGCGGGGGGGGGGGGGGGTCAGTGGACGTGTCTGGACGTCATCAATGGCGGCGTGTCAATTGGAGTTGTCAACGGGAGGTCGAGTGGACGGGTTTGCGAACGTCCGGGAGAGGCGGAGCGATCGCAATGGCTGCCGAGATGCAGGATGCAGGACAAGGTGGCCGTGCGGAGCCGGAGCTTCGGTAAGATGTGCGTGTGTGTGAGAAGAAGCGCGTGCCGAGAAGAGCAGGAAGCAGCCCAGCCCCTCCTTGCTGCTGCCCTCGGCGCGGTGGTAGACCCCGCCAGAGAGGTGCGCCTGTTCGGAGAGGGGCGCGCGGCATTCCTTAACTGGTCCTAACTCGGCTCCGGCATGTGCCGTCGGCAGGCCGCACCGATTGACTATCAACTAGTAACTGGAGAGGCCTACACTCTGGGGGACTGCACTTTGGGGGCGACCTACTACTACTACCTACCACCTAACACCAGCACCATCTCTACATCTCGCCTCTCTCTACACAATTTTATCGCCGAACCTATTGGAGTCCATGCATTACACAGTAACTGGAGAGGCAGCATGGTGCCACCCGATGCCGCACGCGGAGAGGGCCAGCTGCTGCAGCGAGATCGAGTCGGCCGTCGGCGCGAGCAGCACCTGTTCACAGCGGGCGGCGTGAAGAGACGTTCACACCAGATCGAGCCTCGCCGTCGGCGCAAGCAGCGCCGTGTCGATTGCAACCTGCAGACGAGAGGGCGGGCGCGTGGGTGGAGGTGCCGTGGGCGCCAGGCGCCAGCACGCACGCGGTGTGAGGCCGGCGCAGCGGCGGGTGCGCGGGGCCGGCGCTGCTGGCGGTGTGAGAAGAGACGCCCGAGCGCCTCCAGCTTTTTCGCGGCGAAGGCCGCGTTGGTGAGGCGAAGGCTGGCCGAGGGGCACTCGGCGGAGGCGCTGAGGAGGAGGACGCGCGGCTGGGCGAGCGGCTCCTCGCGCCGCACGCGCTCCAGCCGGCAGAGCGCGAGCGAAAGCGCCGCCGCAAGCGCCGGCGCCGCAGCGTCGGAGAGTGGATCCAGAGCAACGAGGCCCCGCACGCCCCTGGCGAGGGCGGCGCGCAGCCTGTGCGGCGGCGCGACCTCCGCGGCGAGCTCGCGCCTCTCCGGCCACAGCAGCCGCGCCGCGGCTGGGTGCGCACCCACCACGAGCAGGCGGTTGCTGGACGCGAGCGACCAGTAGGCGCTGCAGAGCATCATCAGCTGCTCGAGGAGGTGCGGCAGCTCATCGGCGGGCCGCGCAGCCCACTCCACGGGGCTGCAGTCGACGACCACCGCGAGGACGCTGGGCGAGGCGCTGGAGCCGACCGCTCGTCGCTCCTCCGCCTTCATAGCAGGCACGGCCGGGGTAAAAAAAGTGGCATTTTTTCGGTAAAATTACACTGTGAAAAAGACAGAAAAAGAGAGAGAAAACGCGCGCGCAGCGCGCGTAGGCGGCGCGCAGCGCCGCCGCAGGCGGCGGACAGCAGGTGCGCAAAATTAAACGCCATTTTCGGTTCCGCGGTTTTGCCACTAACATCAAATGTCGGGATGATTGATTGATTGCGCAGGCCAGCGCCGCGCTGTGATACGCATAGAGACGACCCGACCTCTCTGAACTAAGCCAGATTACTGCGAACGAACGCGTAGCACGAACGCGTAGCGCGCGGCGGGGAAGTCAACGGGGCAGCCGGCCGGGGGCCGGCCGCGCCCGAGGCGCGAGGGCGTAGACGGGTCACAAATTGCCCGGGACGGCTGGTCACTTGGTCTCTGACGTAGGCCACGCACATGCACATTAAGCGGTGACATGACCTGATTGTTAAGAGCCGGTCCGCGAAATTAAATGCCATTCTCCAGGCAGGTATCCATTTTAGCACTATCTTCGAAATCCCGGCCGGTACTGTTTTAAGAATGAGTGAAAGAGGTTGTTGGTATTGTCTCTGAAAGAAATGGGCTCGGCTGCGCCTGGGTTCGGAGCTTCAACGCCGGCCATTGCGCCGAATAAAACGGCGGCAAGTGCCGGACAGTGCACAGGGGCTTCGGCGAGAGCGTCGATGCCTTGAGTTGCCCGCTATGGCCGGGGGCTGCACCGCCGTGTGCATCAAGAAGAACTTGCACATGTGGAAACTGTGTATATGCCGAAATGTGACGGCGGCGAGGGCGACACGGACGGAGCAGGCGACAAAGGCGAATCCGACGGCGGAGGCGGCGACGGCGACACGGACGGAGGCGGCGAAAGCGAGACCGATGGCGGCGACGGCGACGGCAAGCGAGCTTGCTGCGGGGAGGGCGAGACGGAGGAAGGCAGCGGCGACGGCGACACGGACGGAGGCGGCGACGGCGACACGGACGGAGGCGGCGACGGCGACACGGACGGAGGCGGCGAAAGCGAGACCGATGGCTGCGACGGCGACGGCAAGCGAGCTTGCTGCGGGGAGGGCGAGACGGAGGAAGGCAGCGGCGACGGCGACACGGACGGAGGCGGCGACGGCGACACGGACGGAGGCGGCGACGGCGACACGGACGGAGGCGGCGAAAGCGAGACCGATGGCGGCGACGGCGACGGCAAGCGAGCTTGCTGCGGGGAGGGCGAGACGGAGGAAGGCAGCGGCGACGGCGACACGGACGGAGGCGGCGAAGGCGACACGGACGGAGGCGGCGAAGGCGACACGGACGGATCCGAGGCGGCGACGGCGACACGGACGGCGGAGCGGCGACAGCGACACGGAAGAAGGCGACGGCGAGACCGACGGCACGGCGGGGAGGGTGAGGGCGGCAGCGGGGAGGAGTGCGGCGGCAACGGCAGCGGCGAGGGCGGCGGCGACGGCGGAGGAGAGAGCGGCGGAGAGGGCGGTGGAGAAGGCCGCGGGGAGGGTGGCGGAGAGGGCGGTGGAGGCGAGGGCGGCGGCGACGGCTGAGGAGAGCGCGGAGGCGACAGTGGCGGAGAGGGCGGCGAGGAGGGTGGCGAACTCGCATTAATTCACCTGCGGGAACCGGGACGGCGGGGAGGTGGCGGGACCGAATCGTACCGCGGGCCGCCGGGCAGCGGCCATACCCGCTCGGGGGAGGCAGGGCTCAGAATCGGTTTCAGGCCACAAGGCCGGTGAGTTGGGCGTGACCGTCATCTAGAACGCGCCCGCTCGCTCGCGAAGTCGGTCTGCGGAAGGTAACGACGATTCGGCTAGCTGGGCGTCTGCGGAGGCAACGGGCGGGCTGGCGATCCGCAACGAGGCCTGTTTGTCGCGGTCGGACAGGCACCCGTCGCATCTGTGGACAGGTGTGACGACGGCAGTGACGAGATTGCGGCGCAGCCGCGCACGGGGTCCCGCCGTCAGCGGCCACACAGGCAAGAGCGGCACATCATGAGTCGGGGGGGTGTCGGGGCACGACGAGGGTTGCTTCGGCTGGCGCTCGGAGGCCACCAGGCGGCCCCATTTGCGTCCGGCAGGTGCCTGCCGCACGCCTGCCGCACGCTCTAACGTGCAGAGCACCGAATAGACGCCTTGACCCAACATAGAGGGCGTTGTGTAGCCTAGCTTTTGGGTAATATAAATAGACGCCTTGCCCAAAAAAGTCGTACCGGGTATTACCGAGCCCTCTCGCTCTGAGCGTCGAGGCTCGGAGTCAAGACTGAGGGTTCGCGCTCTCTCCTCCCGCGCAGTGTTCGCAATCACGGCCGTGGCGCCGCTACTACCCACCATGACGACGGGTGGGGTCGGGGGTGGCGATCGGTAGTCCGGCGATCTCGAGTGTTGGCGGCAGCCGATCCGGGCTCGAGCGGGGCCGAGAGCTCAAGGTGGCGACGGAGCGCCGACGGCGGCGATGTGCTTTCGGATCAAAGCTGCAGGATGTGTGTTGGAGAGGGGGTGCCTCCCGTCCACCGGGTGCGATCCGGGTCGGCTATTGACTCGCCCTTGCGTCGCGGCTCTGTTGCCACGGTGCTTCCCTGGAGTCAGGCCGGACGGCCACTCTCGCAGCACCCTTGCACATGGGCGGCTCCGCTCAGCCCGGGAGAGACGTGCGCCAATCGGCATGCGCGTATTAATTATTCGCACGCCATACGCTACTCGAGTACATCCACCGCCACCGGATCGAGCGGCTGCTTCCACACGCCCCCTGGAAAGCTCACCTTCCTTACGTCCGGCTGCAAAGCTGCCGTTTTCAGTGCGATGACAAGTGGCCGCCACTCTAGATAGGATCTTGCTCTCCCTGCTCACGAGCTTCTCTTCACTGCGCCACTCACTCTTGGCATGTGGCAAGCACCCGCCCCGGTGGTGCCCCTGGGTGCTGGGAGGAAGAAGAAACCGAGACGACGCATGGCCTGCCGCTGCGAGACCGTTTCTGAAAGTGAAACGCATGCGTTCAACCTCACATCCAGGGCCGGGGAGCTAAAAGAAAGAAAACACACAACCCAAGGGAGGGATGGGAGAACGGCACGCCGCGGAGCTGATAAGCGCACCGAGGGACCAAAAATTCTCTCTTGTCAAGCAGGTTGCTCTCCACGCCGGTGAGCGCGAGGAGCGCGGCCGGCGCTTTGCGCGCCTGACTCACGCGCCGGACGCGAAGCCGCCATGCTGATCACAAACAACTTTGAGGCGCACGCCACGCGCCTGCTGCGCGCGGAGAATTTGCAGCAGCGGCAGCAGCTCGTCATGGAGATGCGCGACTCGATCGAGATTGTGCACACGGCCGAGTATGGCAACTTCCTGCGCCACCTGTTCCCCGCCTTCTACCAGCTTCTGTCCGAGGGCACGCCGCAGTTCTCAGAGGGCCCGGAGCAGAAGGTGCGCAACATGCTGCTCGAGGTGCTCAACCGGCTCCCAAACAACGAGACGCTGCGGCCGCACGTGCCGATGATGCTCTCGCTCTGCATGAAGCTGCTCGAGACAGACAACGAGGAGAACGCAGTCATCTGCCTCCGCATAATCTTCGACCTCCACAAGAACTTTCGCCCGACGCTCGAGCGCGAGGTCTGTCCGTGGCCGCCGCCGCGCGTGACCCGCCCCGCCTCGTCCCCGCGACCCCTTCGCCGCCGCCTCCCGCCCCTCGACCCCCCCCCCCCCCTTTCCCCCCATTCCCGCCTCTTTACCCTCCGCTCCCCCTTTCCTCTGCCCCCTCCACCGCCGCTTCCCCGCCCACCGCCCTCTCCCCAGCACCCATCCCCACCCGCCTCCTCCCTCCACGCCCATTCCTCCGCCCCCTCCGCCGCCCCTCGCCTCCGCCCCCGACGCCTCCGCACATTCACCACCACCACCCGCCTCCCCCTCACCCCCCCCCACCCCCCACCCCCCACCCCGCTCCCCTCGCCACCGCCCTCGCCCCCCTCTCCACCGCCGCCTCCCCCTCTCCGCCGCCCTCCCAACAGCCACCTCTTACCTCCGCCGCCGCCCGGCTCCGAGACATCGCGCGCCCCCCCGCCCGGAGCCTCTTGGGAAGCGTCCCCGACCCTTCCCCGACCCTTCCTCGACCCTCCCCCCGCCCCTCCCCGCCCCCTTCCTCCGACCCCCTCCCCCCGCCCCTCCCCCCGCTGCATTCTACGTGTATACAGGTGCAGCCCTTCCTCAAGTTTGTCGAGCGCATTTACAGAGGCCTGCCCAACACCGTGGCCCTCCTCTTCTCCGACAAGGAGAGCGCGGCCTCCGCCGGCCCCGGCATCCCGCGGACGGAGCAGCAGCACGCAGCCGAGCAGGCGCAGGCGCGCGTCCAGCAGGCGCAGGCGCGGCACCAACAGCTGGTTCAGGCGACACTGCAGGCGCAGCAGCAGGCGCAGGCGCGCGCGCAGCAGGCGCAGCAGTGCGCCTCCATCGCCCAGGCGCAGCCGACGCAGGCGCACCAAGCACAAGCGCAGCAGGCGGCGCAGGCGGCGAGGGACGCGCAGGCGCGAGCGCAGACGCTCGCCGCGCAGTCGCAGCAGGCAAACTCCTAGACACTTCCTAGACACCTCCTAGACACTTCCCAGACACTTCCTAGTCGCAGCAGGCCAACTCGGCGGCGGCGCAGGCGCGGGAGCAGGCGCGCGCGGCCGCGGCGGCGGCGGCCGCCGCGTCGTCGCAGCAGGCGATGGTGAGCGGTGTGCTGAGTCGCCAGGAGTCGGCAGTGTCTGTGGGCAGTAGCGCTGCGGCGGCCGCCGCGGTCGCGCCCGTGTCTGCGTGCGTCGCGCGGCGGCCCGACTCGGCGGCGAGCGCGCTGGCGGGCGGCGACGCCACCGCGACGCCGCTCGCCGTGTCGGCGACGGCCGCTGCAGAGGGGTCGGCGCCGGCGGCGGCGGCGGCGAGCGTCGTCGCGGCGTCGCCGCGCCCGCCGTCAGGTGTGCTGATCCGGTCGACGGAGTCGTTCAAGGTGCTCACCGAGTGCCCGCTGATTGTGATGCTGCTCTTCCAGCTCTACCCGCGCTACATACAGACCACCATCCCGGTCCCGACGGCCGCTGAGTTGGCGCCGTGCGTCCGTGACGTGTCCGAGACGCGTCCGAGGCGTGTCCATAGGCGACGGGGCTTCGACAGGGCGAGGGACAGGTCCAAGACACGTCCACGACTTGTCCGAGACATGTCCCTAGGCTCTCATCCCGCTGATGGTCCAGGCTCTCGCGCTTCGCACGCCGCAGCGCGCGCTGCTCAAGCACCGGACGGCGGCGACGGACTTCATGGCGGCGCAAGTCAAGACGCTCTCCTTCCTCACCTACTTGCTGCGCGCGTTTGCCGACTTTATGCGCTCTTACCAGGAGTCTATCCCAAAGTGCGTCATCCAGCTGCTGCTGACTTGCCCGCCCGAGGCTGCGGCGAGCCGCAAGGACAACATCCTCATTCACAGGCAATGACTACAGTTGACATCAATGAACAGGCTGCGGCGATCCGCAAGGACATCCTGGTCGCCACGAGGCACATCCTCGCCACGGACTTCCGCGTCGGCTTCTTCTCGCAGGTGGGACGTGCTGCCCCCCTCATCTCCCCTCATCTCCACTCATCTCCCCACATCTCCCCATCTCTCCCCACTTCTCCCCACAGCTACAGCTCCCCATCATTCCCCCCATCTCCCCCCATCTCCCCCCATCTCCCCCCATCTCCCCCCCTCTCGCAGGTGGACGTGCTGCTTGACGAGAACGTGCTGGTCGGTGCCGGCCCTACCTCGCTGCGCACCTCGCACGAGGCCGCTGCTATACCGCACCACCCACGGGACTGAACCCACACGGGGTTCGATCCTCGGGAGGTATGGTACTAGGCGCTGCGGCCGCTCGCCTGCAGCACGCTCGCCGACCTGGTCCGCCCTCGCGCGGGGCGAGCTCGCGCCTCGCCGCTCCGGCGTGACACCGAGTGAGGTACGAGCTAGGTCCACCACGTGCGCGGCGAGCTCGGCATCAAGCACCTCTCGCGCGTCGTTCACTTGTTTTCGTGCCACATCCACGACGCCTCGCTGCCGCTGGCGATCCAGATCACGTCGGTGCGGCTGCTGCTCAACCTCGTCGAGGACACTTGCCACAAGAGCGGCGAGGGGCAACCGTCTTGAGGCGTGACGACTTCAGAGCTGCTTCCACATCCGTAGGCAATCTTCCACAAGAACGACGTCGAGGCGCGCGCGCTGCTCGTGCGCATCCTGCACACGCTCGTCTTCAAGTTTACCACGCTCAAGGAGCAGATCCCCAAGCTTCTCGTGGCGCGCGACGAGGCGGCCGCCGCCAAGGAGGCCGACAAGACAGCGCGCTCGCAGCAGGTGACGCGGGACTATTAATTAGACAGGGAATGTAATCGTGGTTAATTCACAGCTCGCAGCAGGTGACGCGGGACTATTAATTAGACAGGGAAGGTAATAGTGGTTAATTCACAGCTCGCAGCAGGTGACGCGGGACTATTAATTAGACAGGGAATGTAATAGTGGTTAATTCACAGCTCGCAGCAGGTGACGCGGGACTATTAATTAGACAGGGAAGGTAATAGTGGTTAATTCACAGCTCGCAGCAGGTGACGCGGGACTATTAATTAGACAGGGAATGTAATAGTGGTTAATTCACAGCTCGCAGCAGGTGACGCGGGACTATTAATTAGACCGGGAATGTAATCGTGGTTAATTCACAGCTCGCAGCAGGTGACGCGGGACTATTAATTAGACAGGGAGTGTAATAGTGGTTAATTCACAGCTCGCAGCAGGTGACGCGGGACTATTAATTAGACAGGGAATGTAATAGTGGTTAATTCACAGCTCGCAGCAGGTGACGCGGGACTATTACTTAGACAGGGAGTGTAATAGTGGTTAATTCACAGCTCGCAGCAGGTGACGCGGGAGGGCGCGCGGAAGGCAGCGATGGCGGCGGCGGCCGCCGCCGCCAGCCGCGCGGCCCCAAGGCAGGCTGAGGGCGGCACCGTGGCGGAGGGCGCGAAGCAAACTGCCGCGACGCCGCCCGCCGCGACGGCTGAGGGCGAGGAGGGCAAGCGGCCCGCCAAGCCGCCGTTGGAGGGCGAGGCGGCGCGGCGGGCGGCGCTCGTGGCGGTGCCGGCCATATCTCCCCATATCTCCCCATATCTCCCCATATCTCCCCGCTCGTGGCGGTGATGGCCACCCAAGGTGGCCACTGACCGCCGAATCCCGCCTAGCAGTCAGTGGGTGGCTGCCTGCATCAGGTGACCAAGTCGGACCCGTTCGCGTCTGATTCGACGAAGAGCGCCGCCGACTCGACGCGTGAGTGCAAGCAGCTGCTCAAGACGATGATCCTCGGCGTCAAGACGGTGGTCTGGTCCGTCCTCCACCTCAATCTGGAGGAGCGGCTACCTGCTCGCGGTCAGCTACCTGAGTGATGCGCCGTGAATAGGTCCGTCTCCAACTCGCGCATGCAGCCGCACCCGCTCGCCGGCGTGCAGGCCATGAAGGGGATGAGCGAGGAGGAGTGCCTCCTCGTCGCGCGGCTGGTCAAGAGCGGGCTGCCCTGCTTCGTCATCTACGGGACGGGGCCCGACGCGAGCCCGCAGGAAGAGAAGGAGGTGCTCGACTACTTTGCGGGCGTCTTCATCTCCCCATATCTCCCCATATCTCCCCACATCTCCCCGCAGGTGCTCGACTACTTTGCGGGCGTCTTCACGGTCAGTTCCCCTACCCCCACCGCACCCGAAGCCGGCTACCCTACCCCCACAGCACCCGAATCCAGGTCCTCGACCTGCGCAACTTCAAGCAAGTCTTCGAGCTGCAGATGCCCACGCTGTACGAGCGCGTGCGCGCAAACAGCAGCATGCTCACCATCCTGCAGCACTTCCTCGCAAACTCGAACGTCTCGCGCCCCTTCGCCGAGATCCTCCTCTCCTTGCTCGTGGGCAAGCTGCCCGAGCTCTCCGCCGCCCCCGAGGCCGAGGCCGCCACGCTGCTCCGCCTCTTCAAGCTCGTCTTTGGCTCGATCACCCTCTTCCCCGAGAACGAGCCCGTGCTGAGGCACTCCTTAGCCGAGATATGGGGAGATATGGGGAGATATGGGGAGAACGAGCCCGTGCTGAGGCACTCCTTAGCCGAGATATGGGGAGATATGGGGAGATATGGGGAGAACGAGCCAGTGCTGAGGTCTCTCCTTAGCCGAGATATGGGGAGATATGGGGAGATATGGGGAGAACGAGCCCGTGCTGAGGCCCTCCTTAGCCGAGATATGGGGAGATATGGGGAGATATGGGGAGAACGAGCCCGTGCTGAGGATCTCCTTAGCCGAGAGGCGCCGAGATGGCCCGAGGTCCGGAGTCGGGTCACACACACACACGCACGCACGCACGCACGCACGCACGCACGCACGCACGCACGCACGCACGCACGCACGCACGCACGCACGCGCGCACACACACACCTTCTCTATTGTCCGAGATGGCCCCGAGGCCACTCCCGAGGCTGCACGCGAGTTAGGCCGCATCTCGCCACCATCGTCACCTCGGCGCTGCGCTACGCGTCAGCCTCGCCTACGCCGGCGCACTACTACTCGCTGCTCCGCGCCCTCTTCAAGTCGATCGGCGGCGGCAAGTTCGAGTCGTTGTACAAGGAGTTCCTGCCCCTGCTGCCGTCGCTGCTGCCTGGCCTCATCCACGCGCACGCGCGCGCGCGCACGCGCGCGCTGCGCGAGGTGCTTCTGGAGCTGTGCCTCACCTTGCCCGCGCGCCTCTCCGCGCTGCTGCCCTTCCTGCGCGCGCCGCTGAGGCCGGCGCGCCGCCCGCGCGCCTTCTAGTGTCGAGGCGCGTGGTTCGCCTCTAGGCACCTGCTGATGGAGCCCGTGCGGCACGCGCTGCGCGCCTCCTCGGAGCAAGTCGGGCTCGCGCTGCGCACGCTCGAGTTTTGGGCGTCGACCGCCCCCGCCCCCTCCTCACACTCGAGGCTGTGAACGGCGTCTCTCCACACCTCTTTGCCGCGAGCAGGTCGACCACCTCCACCCCGACTTCCTGCAGCCGCGGATGGGGCCGCACATGCGCCACCTCATGGCGGCGCTCACGCGGCAGCTGCGGCCGCAGCCCTACCCTTACGGCCCCACGGCGCTCCGCGTGCTCGGCAAGCTCGGAGGGCGCAACCGCACGGAGCTGCACACGCGGCCGCCCTTCGAGGCCGCGCACAGCCGCGCGAAGCGTGCGCAGCGGCGCCCAGAGGGCGGTCTCTCAGCGGCGCCCCGCCTGTTTTCGCCTCCAGGTGGCGCCGAGCGTGAGCAGCGGCGCGCCGCTCCCTACCGCCGGAGGCCACAGCCTCGGCGTCGGGGTCGACTCCGGCGGCGTGCCGCCCGCGCGCCTCTACCTCGAGCTGAGGCATCTCCCCAGATCTCCCCAGATCTCCCCAGATCTCCCCACATCTCCCCACATCTCCCCACATCTCCCCAGATCTCCCCAGATCTCCCCACACCTCAGCCGCAGAGGGGGGGAGCATTCCCCACATCTCATCCACACTCCCCCCCCCCCCCCCCTCCCCTCCCCCTCCCCCGGCCAGCCCGCTTCCTCTGTCTGCAGGCCCGCGGCGGGCGGCGCCGTCGCGCCCACGGCGTCCGAGCCGCCCGCGCACCGCGGTCCGGTCCGGCTCCCCCTCGACCCGGCAGTAGCGAGGGCGCTCTCGCTGCTGCGGCACGGGCCGCCGCCCAACGCGCGTGCGAACGCGCCATACCACGCCTTCTCCCTCCTCCGCGCCGTCGTCTCGCGCCTGATTGCGCCCGCCGCCACGCCGCTGCCGCCGCCGCCGCCCGCACCCGCGCCCGCGCCTTCGCCCGCCGCTTCCGCACCTTCCGCGGCTGCGCCTTCCTCCGCCGCGGCCGCGCCTTCCGCCGCCGCCTCCGCCGCCGCCTCGCCCGCCGCTCCGGCGCCCATGGACGTGGACGAGGCAGAGGGCGGCGCGGGGGGCCGGTGCGAGTGGAGCGTGTACCTCGAGCCGCCGGTGGGTAGCGGGGACTCGGCGGAGGCGTGCGCGGCGCGGGACGAGTCGTTCCTGCGCGAGGTTGCCGAGGGGCTCTACGCGGCGGCGGCGCGGCCGGAGGTTTCCGACGAGGCGACGCACCTTCTGCGCGGCCTCACGCGCCACACCGCCCTCCTCCTCCTCAACGCGCCGGCGCCGCTCCACCCGGTCGCCGCCGGCCCGCCGCCGCCGCCGCCCCCCGCGGGCACATCGCTCGGCGCCACGGCCGCTGCGTCGCCGACGCCTTCCCCAACGGCGGCGAGGCCGCGCGTGCTCGTCGACGCGCTCGTGGCGACGCTGCGCAGCGGGCCGGGGAATGTGGTGGCGGTCGCGTCCCAGATGCTGACCGCGCTGCTCTCTGACCTCGACGCGCTCGCCGCGTCCCCCGCGGACTCCGCGCTGGTCGACGCGGCGCGCGCCTCTCTCCTCCGCGCGCTGGCGCACGCCCCGCGAGTCCATTGCTAGTTGAGCGCGAGTCGAGCACTACTTAGGTGCACGCCTACCTCCTCCGCGAGCTGGCGCACGCCGCGTACGACGCGGACGCGCACGAGGCGCCGTGCGGGGTGCTCGAGATGGCGCAGCTCATCCGCAGGCGCGAGATGTGGGGAGAGATGGCGGAGATGTGGGGAGATAGGGGGAGATCGCGCAGCTCATCCGCAGGCGCGAGCTACGAATCCATGATTAGCTAAACACTCAATTAACCACTACTTAACCACCTCCGCAGGCGCGAGCCGCGCTGGGTGCTGCAGCACGAGCTTGCGGTGGCGACGGCGCTCCTCTCTCTCTGCCTCGACGGCTCCGGGGATGTGCACCCCGACAACCTCGACGCCGCCAGGGAGCTGATGCTCGAGCTTGTGCGAAAGTGCCACGGGCCAAGCGCAGGCGACGGCGGAGGCGACGGCGGAGGCGACGGCGGAGGCGACGGCGGAGGCGACGGCGGAGGCGACGGCGGCGGAGGTGACGGCGGAGGCGACGGCGGTGTGGACGGCAGCGCGGGCGGCGCGGCGGGCGGCGTGGGTAAGGAGGAGGCCGACGCCGCCGCCGCCGCGCTGGCGCACCGGTTCGCCCTCGAGCTGGGCAACGCGAACGCGGGCGTGCGGGACGCGTCGCGTGCTGGCTTGCGCGAGCTCAGCCAGCTGCTCGGCCGCTCGGTTTGCTCTCTGCTGATGGAGCACCGCGAGGCGGCGGTGCTGCCGCTGCTGACGGGCTCGCTGCGGCTGCTGCCGCTGGTGACGCAGGTGGCGACCTGCGAGGCGCTCACCTACTGCATCCTCGAGCAGCCCTCCGGCGCCCCCCCCCCCCCCCCCCCCGGGCGCGCGCGCGCGCGCGCGCCGCGGCTCGCTCCAGGACATGTCCAGGACATGTCGTGGACGTGTCCTCGACACGTCCGTGCCACGTCCTGGCCTAGGCGCCTCCCCCGCGCCGCGGCTCGTCCCGCTCGACGCCCCCCTCCTCGCGCTGCTCGACCAGGCCCTCGCCCTGGCCGAGGCGCCGGACGACGGCCCTCGCGACCCGCGCGAGCAGGCGGCCGCAGCCGCCCGCTATTTCTTTTTTACATACCTACTAGCCCCCAGTCACGCCTTTTTTATTCTCGAGCAGGCGGCCGCAGCACCGGGGGGCGGGTCGCTCGCCAACGAGCCGGCGTCGCTGCGCGGTCGCATGCTCGGGCGGCACGTGCGCGGCGTGCCGTTGCCGGTGCGGCAGCGCGTGGTTGCCATCGAGCTGCTCGCCGCCGCGCTGTCGTACGACGCGCTTAAGGGGCCGCCCCACTTGGCGCTGCGGCACCGCATGATCGGCTGCTTCTTCAAGTCGCTGACGGTGCGGCACGAGGAGGTGGTGGCCGTGGCGCGCGACGCGCTCGCCGCGGTCATCTCGCAGTCCAAGCTGCAAAAGGAGCTGCTGCAGTCCAGCCTGCGCCCGATCTTGCTCAACCTGGCCGACTACCGCAAGCTGTCGGTGCCGCTGCTGCAGGGCCTCTCGCGCCTGCTCTCGCTGCTCTCCAACTTCTTCAACCTCACCCTCGGCGAGAAGCTCCTCGAGCACCTCCGTCGCTGGACGGACCCCGAGGCGCTGGCGAAGGCAAAGACGTTCCGCCCCGGCGACGACGTCAAGATCCCCTGCGCGATCCTCTCTCTCTTCCACCTCCTGCCCCCCGCGCCCGACAAGTTCCTGACCGAGCTTGTGTCGGTCTCCCTCTCCCTCGAGGCGGTGCTACCTGGCTCGACAGCCCTCGGCCGCCACTGGTCGCCACACCGGGAGGCGCTGGTGCCGTACCTCAATCGTCACGCAAAGGAGACGGTGTCCCACCTGCTCGACCGGATCACGCTGCCTGCGGACGCGGCGACCAAGGAGAGGCGCGAGGACGTTGCAAAGGCGTTCCGCTACCTCCTCTCGCTCGTCCGGTACAAGCACGCCGCCGAGGTGCGCGACGAGCTTGCGCGCCAGTGGCAGCCGCTGCTCCAGCGCACGCTCGAGGCGGCGCGCAGCACGACCGAGCGACAGGTCGCCGCGCAGCTGCGGTACCAGGGGGTGGCTCTGGTCCACGGGCTCTGCAAGCTCAAGCCCGACTGGCTGCCGTCTTGCCCGGACGTGCTGCAGGCTCTCGTCCAGATCTGGAGCTCGCAGGAGCGGCTCGCGGCGGAGGAGCAGGCGGCCATGCCGCTTGAGCAAGTGCGCGAGTTTAAGGTGATCGCAAAGTGCTTCGTCTCGTGCCTGCGCCACCAGGCAAAGGCGCTCGGCGACGAGATTGGCGACGGGCACATCGAGCTGCTCTTCCTCATGCTGTCCATCTTCTCGCACCACACGCTCGTGGCGTACGACTTTCTCAAGCTCTTCTACCTGGAGGAGGTCGCGACAGGCTACTCGGTCGCGCAGCGCGTCGCCTGCCTCCGCTACTTCCTCCGCTTCTTCCAGTCGTCGCGCACGGCGCGCGAGGACCGCGTCCAGGCGCTGCAGCTGATTGCGCTGCCGATGCTCTGCGCGTCGTTCGCAAAGGGCGAGGGCGAGGCGGTCCTGTCCAAGGAGGTGATCGCGACCATCGTGCACCGGCTGCTCGGCGGCGACATGCTCGCATCCTACGACGAGGCGCTGCGCATCGAGCTGCTGCGGCTGGCGACGCTGCTGATCGAGCACGTCCCGGAGCAGCTGGTCGACCACCGCAAGGAGCTCATCAAGTTCTCGTGGAACCACCTCAAGAGCGAGGACACGCAGTCGAAGCAGTGCGCCTACGTCAACGTCTGCCGGTTCATCCAGGTCTACGACACGCCGCCAAAGATCATCCTGCAGGTGTACGTCGCGCTGCTGCGCACGTTCCAGCCGGACGCGCGCGCGCTGGTCAAGCGCGCCCTCGACATCCTCACGCCGGCGCTGCCGTCGCGGCTGCCGGCGGGCGACCACAAGTACCCGACGTGGATCAAGTGGACCAAGAAGATCGTGGTTGAGGAGGGGCATTCGCTGCCGCAGCTCATCCACATCTGGCAGCTCGTCGTGCGCCACCCCGCCCTCTTCTACTCCTCCTCCGCCCAGTTCGTGCCGCAGATGGTCAACTCGCTCAACCGGATCGGCCTCTCGCCAAACTGCTCCACCGACAACCGCAGGCTCGCCATCGACCTCGCGCAGCTCATCATCTCGTGGGAGATGCAGCGCATCGAGGCCGCCAGCCTGCCAACAACGCGGCCCGCATCCACCGGCCCCGCCACGCCCACCGCGGGCGCAAAGCGGCCGGCAGAGTCGCCCGCGGCGGCCGGCGCCGCCGGCGGCGCGCCCGCGAAGCTGCAAAAGACGGACGGGGCGCAGGCGGCGCCGGGCGGGGCTCCGTCGGCAGGGGCGCCGCCCGGCACGGAGTCCGCAGCAGCAAAGGTGGAGCCGCCGCCGTCGGCGCCGCCCTCGCCGCCCGCCGGCAGGCCCGACGCACCGATGGAGGTTGAGGGCGCGGTCTCCGCCACCGCAGCGGCAGCGGCGCGCGGCGCGGCCAGGCAGGTGACGCCAGCCGCAGCCGCAGCCGCCGCTGTCGCCGCCTCGCCAGCAGTGGCAGCGGCGGCGGCGGCGGCGGCGGCCGCCGCTGCCGCCGTCGCCGGCAGCGCCGCCGCCGCAGCGATCGCGCCCGCCACCGCCCGTTCGCCCGCCGCCCGCTCGCCCGCCGCCGCCGCCACGGCGCTCGCCTCGCCCGCCGCCGCCTCGGCCGCCGCCGTCGCGCCCGCCTCCGCACCCGCCTCCGCGCCCGCCTCCGCGCCCGCCTCCGCGCCCGCCTCCGCGCCCGCCGCCGTCGCGCCCGCCTCCGCGCCGGCGGAGGAGGAGTTTCGGCCCTCTGCGGCCATCGTTGAGGTGCTGGTCAACTTTCTGATCCGCGTGGCGTTGATGGCGGCCGAGGGGCGCGACGGGCCGGAGCTGTCGGAGCGCTGCGTCTCCCTCCTCGCGTCGGGGCTCTCCCTCTGGCCTGAGGTTGCAATCAAGTACGCCTTCCTCGACAAGCAGTTCCAGGAGGCCTCGCGCTCCTCGGCCAACGCCGCCGCCGCCAAGGACGGCGCGGCTTCGGCCGGCGGCGCGGACGGCTCAAACCTGCTGCTGACGGGGCTGGCGGTGCTGCACGCGATCATCAAGCGGCAGCCGGCCTTCCTGGTGCGCCACCTCAAGTCGCTGCACGCGCTGCTCGCGCCGGCGCTCGAGCACCACCTCGAGAGCCAAAAGATGGTGTCCGCCCTCGAGGCCTTCCTCAAGGACGCGCTCCAAAACCTCGGCCGCGTCGCGCGGCAGGCGCCGCAGACGCAGGGCGACGTCGCTAGCTTCATGCACTGGCTCGCAGAGGCGTGTGCGCTCGGCCTGGGTACCAAGGACCCTGCCGCCGCCGCCGCCGCCGCCGCCGCCGCCGCCGCCGCCGCCGCCGCGCAGGCGGGCCAGGGCGGCGCCGCGCCGCCGCCCGCGCCGGCGCGCGACTTTTCGGTGGTGCGCGCGCACTCGTCGCTCCGGCTGCTCCTGGTGGTTGGTGGGTTCGCTCCGGATCTGCTCTCGAAGCAGCACGTCGCAATCACCAAGCTCCTCGCCCGGCTCGCCAAGGACCACCTCTCGCGCAAGCCCGAGCCGCCCGCCGCCGCCGCCGCCGCCGCCGCCGCCGCCGCCGCCGCCTCGCCCGGCGCGTCCGGCGCGGCCTCTTCGCCGACAGCAGAGGAGCTGCTGCTGCCCTCGCTGCGCCTCACGATCCGGCTCGGCTCGGCGCGGCTGCCCGACAGCGGCGACGCGCGCAAGACCTTCCTGCTCGCGCTCGAGCGGCTGGCCGAGCGCGCGCACGACGTTGAGCTGCTGATGCTCGTCGTCAAAACGGCGGGCAGCTGGATCGTCGCGCCGCCGGGGGCGCCGCCAAACCTGCAGCCAAAGGAGCGCGCCTCGCTGCTGCTCAAGCTGGGCTGCGTCGAGGCGACGTCCGCGCCGCGGCTGCACGCGGCCTACCTCGCCGTCGCCGCGCGCGTGCTCGCCGACGAGTCGCTTCCGGGGCGCGAGATGCTGCTGCCAAACCCTCCGCGCGGCACCCCCTCCACCGCCGCCACCAGCGGCCCCCTCCGGCTCGAAGCGGGGCTGCTGCTCGGCCTCCGCTCGCGCGACGCAGCGACGCGGCGCGCTTTCTCGGCGCACCTCTCCCGCGCCGTCGGCGGCTCCGTCGCTCACCGCATCGCGCACGTCATCTCCTCGAACGAGAATGACTCGGGGCCGGCGGCCGTCGCCGCCGCGAGCGGCGCGTTCTGGCTGCGGCAGGGCGTGCAGGTGCTGCTCGCCGCCACGGACCCCGACCAGCCGGCGGCGGTGTGCGGCGCGGCGCTGCCGCTGCCGGTCGCCGAGCTCACCCCCGGCGGCGCGGCGGGCGGCGCGGCGGGCGGCGCGGCGGGCGGCGCGGCGGCGGGGCGGGGCGAGGTGCGCGTCGTGAGCGGGCAGGCCGCAGGTCTGATGCGCGACGCGGCCGCCTTCCTCACCGCGTGCGCGCGGCGGCTGAGCGTGGGCGAGCTGCTCGCGCCGCTGTGCGAGCTGCTGCACGACCCTTCCGCGGCGCGGCTCGCTTGCGAGGCGTGGGTCGCCCTCTTCCCGCAGCTGTGGCGCACGCTCACCGCGTCCGAGCAGCTGGCGCACTACAAGCCGCTCCTCTCGACGCTGCAGCGGCCCGCGCACAACAAGACGGCCGGCCACTCGCCCAACGTCGTCCAGGCGTGGCTCGCGGCGCTCTGCGCCTGCTCGCCCGCGCCGCGGCTGCCGGCGGCCACGTTGCGCTCGCTCGCCGCGCGGCACAACGCGTGGCACCTCGCGATGCCGCTGCTGCAGCAGTCGCTCGCTCTCGCGCCCACGGAGCCGGCGTGGTACGACGCGCTCGCCTCCCTGCACAGCGCGCTGGGCGACCGGGACGGGCACGCCGCCGTGTGGAAGCAGCGCGCATTGCACGCCGAGACGCGGCGCGCTCTCGCGCTCGAGCAGTACGGCGCGTGGCAGGCGGATAATATAATAAATATAATATAATATAATATAATGAAATAAGCTAACTCGAGCAGTACGGCGCGTGGCAGGCGGCGCAGGACGCGTACGCAGAGTGCATGAGCCGGTGGCAGGCGGGCGAGATGACGCTCGTCAACACGCCGCAGCCCGAGCTCGCGCTGTGGGAGGAGGGCATCGTCCGCTCCGCAAAGGCGCTCAACCAGTGGGAGCTCCTCTCGGAGTACGCAAAGGCGTGGCCGGGGTCGCAGCCGGCGCTGCTGATGGAGTGCGCGTGGAAGTCGGCGGACTGGGAGCGGCTGCGCGACCTCTTCCGCCGGTGCGACATGCGCTCGCAGGCGGCGCTCAAGATGCTGCAGACGTACGCGGCCATCCACGACGGCAAGCTCGCCGAGGCGGAGGGGCGCTGCAACGAGGGCATCCAGATCGCGCTCGCCCAGTGGTGCTCGCTGCCGCCCGTCTCGCTCTCGTCGCACACGCACCTGCTGCAGATGTTTCAGCAGTTCCAGGAGCTGCAGGAGTCGGCGCAGATGCTGCTCGAGCTCAACACCGCGCAGCGCAACAACCAGGTGCCGGACCTAAACTCGATCCTCGTGACGTGGCGCGAGCGGCTGCCCAACGTCTGGGAGGAGCTGCCTGCGTGGAACGACCTCGTTTCGTGGCGCAACCACATGTTTTCGCACATCAACAATGTGCTCGGCCGCCTCGCCGGCAGCGAGAACCCCGCCCTCGCCACGAAGGGCTACCGCGAGCTCCTGTGGACGGTCGTCCGGTTCGCGCACGTCGCGCGGCGGCAGAACCTGCCCCAGGCTTGCGTCTCGATCATCGCAAAGGTGCAGACCGTCACGGCGGGCGTGGCGGGCGAGCAGCTGCACGACGCCTTCTCAAAGCTGCGCGAGCAGGCGCGCTCTTGCTTGCAGATGCCGCAGTACCTGAAGCAGGGCTTGCAGGCGCTGCTGCAGGCCGACGTGCAGTTCATGGCGACGCCGCAGCGCGCTGAGCTCTTCGCGACCAAGGGGGAGCTCCTCCTCGCCCTCGCCGACGCGAGCGGCGGCCTCTCCGCCGGCGACGAGGAGGCCGTCTCGCAGGCCTTCGCGACGGCCGTCTCGCTGCACGCTGAGATGCCGCGCGGCTGGCTGCTCTGGGCGCTCTTTTACGACCGCGCGTACCGCACGCTCCTCGCGGGCAACGGCGGCTCCGCCATGCAGGTGGACGCCGCCGCGCCGCCGCCGACCTCTGGCGGCGCCGCCTCGCCCGGCGGCACCGCCCCGGCGATGGCCGAGCGGGCCCTCACGTGCTACCTGCTGTCGCTGCAGCTGTCTGCGACCAAGGGCGCCAACGTGATGCCGCGCGTGCTGTCGCTGCTGGACGCGCTGCCGGGCGAGACTGCCGCGCGCGTGCTGGGCGAGCACGCCGACGCGGTGCCGCTCTGGCAGTGGCTGCCGTGGCTGCCGCAGCTGCTGCGCGGACTGCGCAAGGGGTACGGCGCGCAGGCGCAGCACGTGCTGCTCCGGCTGGCGCGCTCGTACCCGCAGCCGCTGTACTACCCGCTGAGGGCGTACAGCCAGTCGCACCTCGGCACCTCGGCCGTCGGCGACGCCTCCCCCCCCGCGCTGTGGAAGCCCCCCGCCCAGGAGCGGGCGGAGAAGGAGGCGGAGGCGCGCGCGGACGAGCAGCGCGCCGCCGCGGCGTCGGCGTCGGCGCCCGCGGCGGCAGAGGGCGGCGGCGCACCCGCCACCTCCGCCACGCCGCCGCCGCTCACCTCCGCGCCCAGCATCACGAGCGCCGTCACCAAGCAGGAGAGCATGCACCCCGCCACGCCCACCGCCGCGCCCGCCGCGCCCGCCGGCGGCGCGCTGCCCGCCGCGCCGCCGTCCGCCCCGACGGCGGTCAAGACAGACCCCTCCTCTGCGCCCGCTGCCTGCGCCGTGGCGGCCACCGCCGCCGTCGCGCCGTCGCCCGCCGGTGCGCCCGCGGCGGCCGGCGCGGCGGCGGCGGCCCGCCCCCCCTCTGCGGGCCTCCCCGCCGCCGCTCCAGGCTCCGACCCTCTGCTGCGCGTGCTCACGCCCCCGGCCGTGGGCGCCGAGCCGGCGCCGCAGCCCAGCTACGAGGGGAAGGGCGTGGCTGCGCGGGTCGACGCGGCGCTGCGGCGCGAGCACCCGCAGCTCGCCTCTCAGCTCGACGCCCTCTGCACCGCCCTCGAGACGTCGCTGCTGCCGACCGTCGCCGAGCGGCTGCTTGCCGCGGTGCACGAGGTGGTCCTGCTCGGCCTGTCGGTGACGCCCTCGCCGCCCGACGCGCCGCCCGCCGCCGTGACGGACGCCCTCAACAAGATCGGCACCGCCTTTGGGCTCTCGTCCGGCAAGCTCGCCAGGGCGGACAACCCGGAGACGCGCGCGCTCGCCGTCGGCTGGGGCGCGGCTCTGCTGCGCGAGTGCATCGCCTCGCCACCGCCCACCCTCTCGGAGCTCCTCGCCCGGCTGGAGGCTGTGCGGGCGGGCCTGGCGACCGAGCTGGCGGCGGCGCCGCGCGTCGCCAGAGTCGACGGCGGCGCGTGGCGCATGCTCCTCTCGCAGCAGCCGCTGGTCGAGGTGCCCGGCCAGTACGAGGCTGGCCTCGAGCCGGCCATGGAGCAGCTCGCCGTCATCGACCGGATCGCGCCCGGGGTGACGGTTGTGCGCGACGCGGCGAGCGGCGCGACGCAGCGCCGCTTCGTCCTCCTCTCTGACTCACTCACGCGCCACACCTTTTACCTGAACGGCCCGTCCCCCCTGCGGCCGCACGCGTCGCTCTCTGTGGAGCGGCTCAGCCAGCTGCTGCGGCTGCTGACGCGCCGGCTGCTTCGGTACCGCGAGACGCGGCGGCGCGCCGTCACGCTCGCGCTGCCGCTCTCGATGCGGATCAACGACCGCGGCGTCATGCTCTGCGAGTGCGACCCCTCCGAGACCTCCCTCGCGTCGGTGCTGCACGCGGCGCGCTCCGCCGCCGGCCTGCCGCCGCTCGGTCCCGCGCTCACGCACCAGCGCACACTCTCGCGGGGCGTCGCGCCGCCGGACGAGGAGGCGCGGCGCGAGCGGCTGCGGCAGGCGTACGACGACGCGTGCCGCGGCGTCCCCGACGACGCGCTGCTGCGTTGCGTCCGCGAGTCGCTGCCGTCGCTCGTGCAGCAGTGGGAGCTGCGCCGCGCGCTCACGGCGCAGCTCGGGCTGCACGCGCTGCTGTCGTACACGCTGCAGCTCAAGGCGCTGCAGCCGGGCTCGGTCGTCTTCTCGCGCGCGACCGGCGCCGTCCACCTCGCCTGCGCCGCCGACCTCACCGCCGCCGGCGCGGCGGCAGAGAAGCCGCTGCCCTTCCGGCTGACGCGCAACCTGCAGCGGCTCGCGACGCCGTTCGGCGTGGACGGCGCTTTCTCCGCCACCTTCTCCGCCGCCGCCGAGTGCTTCGCCTCGCCGCGCAAGTGCCCGCTCGAGCTCTGGCTCGCCACGCTCGCCCAGCCCGAGGAGGACGGCGCCACGGGCGCGCCGCTCCCCTTCTCGCCGCCGTGGGGCGCCGCGCCGGCCGAGGCGGCCTCGCGGATGCACGCGCTGTCGCCGGCCGAGCTCGTCAAAAAGATGGGCAAGCAGGCCGACGTGCACGCCAACCTGCGCGCGCTCGTCGCCGAGGCAACCTCGGAGGAGGCGCTCACGCGCCAGCCGCCCGCGTGGCAGGCGTGGCTGTGAGAGAGAGGAGTGCACGCGGCGTGGCCGCTGACTGTCAGTGCTTTGGGCGCATGCGTACAATATATGGGATCTCGCGGGGGTTCAGCCGAGGGAGGGCGGTGGGGAGAGCGGGTGTTAACTGTTGAACGGGTATCGCGTACTGTAGTTTACTGACTTTTCCTGCAAGCGCCGCTGCGGCGCTCATAGTCCCAGGGAGCCCCCGCTCATAGCACATAGGACTATGACACCCAGGGAGCGTCATTGATGTCTCTATCAGGGAGCGTCACAAGGATAAAGCCGTAGTCCCAGGGGCTAGTTCCATTTCACTGTGGCACAGCTCGCGTTACAAAACCTTGATTTTGACCATTTGCGCCATTTTGTCCCTCTCGGTGCCTTCCAGAGGCAGCCAGAGAACCCCGCAGTAGTGGACGGGCGCACACGGCAGGTA